GTTCTCACACTACAGACCTGACAACTCCTTTCTCATTCTGGTCCAAACACGGCGGCCGTCCCCTCATCGATCTGTTTAATGTTGCATTTTGCATCTCGTACTCGTGCACTCCCAGGAACAGATGCAGGGCTGCGAATGTGTCGGAATGAACAGATCAGTGGTGACTGTTGTGTGAGTGTGTTGAGGCCAATCTTAAAAAAGCCTTCGTCGGACTGTCCAAGTGTTAGAGTTATAATTTGTGTTGTATTTTCCAGATTGGGTCTTAAATTGACCCCCGTGTTGCACTGGGACATTTCTGGCCAATGAGAGAATGTTAGGGTTTATTGTACAGTAGTTTCATTGTTAAAAAGGTACAATTTTTCAGATTGACTGCTGAATTTTTAATTTTTTTGGCCAAACTTCTCCCCTCCCCCATTTCCTTCCTAAAGGTTTGAAAACAGGGTTTTCTGAGGCATGCTAGCCAGTGACCTCTGACCTTTTTTGTGATTCAAGGGAGGGGGGGATGCAAAGAGAGCCTCGCCAGTAAGGGGTTACCGACACCCCTCAAGCCTCCGCTCTCATATTTTTTTGCTTTAATTCTTTTTGTATGCAGAACCAAAATGTAAAATGTCATCAAAGTAGGTTTCAGGCCTGAGCCGTGTGTAAATACCCTGAATACAATCATTGGAATCTTGTTTTCAAAGCAAAATGACTTAATTGAAGATAAGTGTAGTTTCTAAAAAACATGTATCATTATTTGTAAGTTAACCATCTGCATGTCTTCAAGCCTCCTGGCATTAGATAATAATTTTAAGATAAAAAAAAAAACTTTTTACACATTTTATTTTTTACAATTTATTTGCTTATCTAAATATCCCAGACAATAATGTGACCCTTTTTATTACTTCAAATTTATTTTTATTTTCCATTTTTTATTTTCCTTATTTCCTGTGTACTACATATAGGCAATTTATAACAAAATGAGAAAATTATTGAAGAAATTTTAAAATTGAAATATATTTTATTTGAAAGTTTATGGACCTTTTAACCGTGAGCCGGGAAAATTGTATAATCATATAATTTCAGCTGACTTGACGGTTATGAGAAATGTATCAAGAGTTTTATTTTTTATGCTTCTTTAATAAAGTCTTGTTTTTGGTTTCATTTTTTACTGTAAAATGAGAACAAGTGTGTTGTGTCTTTATTGAAATGTACAGCAGCTGTCTGTTAGCCACACGGTGGCAGTACAGACACAGCTGCAGCAGGGAATCTGCAGTTCAGACATGTTTGTATAACTGAGACTAGACATTCATTAATGGTGCAGAAAATTCAGACAACACTGCAAGGGGCCTGAATCTGACATTTCAAAAGATCTGGTTTGCTTTTAGAAGAAATGCAGGGTTTTTGTAACTGTCAACAAGCATTGACTGCCCTATTAAACAAAAGATGCTGTTGTGTGAGAATTTGCTGCTTTTTTTTTTCAGGTGTACAAAGCATCTTCAGGTCACACTGCTACTCTAACAAAACAAAAATTAATATTGGTTTATTGATAAATTTGGGTTTTGTTCAACAAACAAAAATCTTGGACCAAACAAAGTGTCAGTCGGATGCAAAGTAATTGTAAATATTCTAGTAATTGGCAAAAGAAAATAAAAGGCAGAATAGAAAGGCCCAAGTTCTCAAATTAGATTTACTTCTAATATTGTCTTGGGGGTAAAGTGTTAATTCTGGGGTTTGTTTAAAATAAAAAGTTTAAAGTGGGGATCTGTTCTGTCCGTTTTTTTGTTTTTCTTGTTACAGCCCATTTTATGTTGGAAAGGAAAACTATCGCCAGGATCATGAACAATATGTGAAAAAGGTCTAGAGCTAAATTTAAAAGCAGCATATATAAGTTTGGCCTCTTAAGTCTTAAACAGGTTTGAAGATTTTAGGAGGAATAAAAGCTGTGTGATCGTTATTTTATGTTCTGTGGGAATGCTGATGTCAAAAGGAAAAGTTCTACTGACTATTTTTAACTGAATCAGCCTTTTGTTTCCACTCTACTCTGGGGTGTGGACAAGGAGCAAAAACATCTGGTTCAACTTGAGTAAAGTGGTGGTGTGTGATCCACCCCTCCCCCCTCCACAGAGGGGTCAAAGCTCACAGCATGAGCGGAGTGAGTGCTCAATGAAGCTGAAGCCCATTGTTCCAGCCTAAGATTCAAGACAATAAAAAAAAAACCCTCTTTCTTTAAGAGGGAACAGCATCTGGTGAATCACTTGACTGATATCGATTTTTTTTTTGGTCCATAGAATGAAATTTGTTCCATTATGACTCGTTCTGAGTACCACAGGAGGAATAATAAAGCAGAAATCTAGAGTGTGACACAAATGTCCCTTTAATAGGAAGCAGATCACAATCAGGCTGCATTCCAGTCCCTCTTCATCCTCATTAAAGAACAATCGATAATGATAAGAAACAAATTAGAAACATCCCCTGTAGAAAATAATTCTCTCATGCGAGTTCTGTGTTCACATTACATTCATATTGGTTACAGATGACGTATTCACAAGCCTTAAAAAAACATTGATGACTCATCACATTGCTTTGGAAGTAAAGAACAAGTAAAATAAAAAGCCGAGTAACATCAAAGAGACACGTGCTGGCACAATTAAGTTTCCCTTCATGCAATTGTAAGTTGATTCTATTCACAGGGGTGTGCGCCATTGGTCTCCACAGAGTTGTGTTGGCGTGCATGCATGCATGTGTGTCTCCTTACATGTGCCCTTTTGTGCTTGAGCAGAGATCTGTGTGTAGGTGTAGGTGTAGGTGTGTGTGTGTGTGTGTGTGTGTGTGTGTGTGTGTGTGTACAAATGCAAAGCAGGCAACCAATAGAGCCCCTGACTACATTCTGCATTATGTGATTTTTTTGTTGTTGTTGCTCTTTGAGCTACAACCTGACAGGTCATGTTTCACCTAAGACAGCAAATACAGACAATGAAACAAGCTCCTTTTAAAGGGCTAGTTTACAAAAATTAATAAGTCATGGTTATGATTTGTATTTTACAATCCCTTTGAGGAAAGAAGGCTCTGCAGGGGGATGAGTGACATTCAAAGCTTTGTTTTTGGCAGGATTCAACAGTGTTTAGTAAAGACAACATGTGACAGGCCAGCAGGGACGTCCAGTGTAGCTCCACACAGTGAGAGAAAAAACCTACTGCAGCTTTAACTCACTGTCACTGATGTCGAGTTGCACCAACAAACTTCAAGACTACGAATACGAAAGGATTCATTTTACGCACGTGACAAGACCCAAACATGAAAATAAAAGCTTGGCGGCGACTCTGATGGCTTCTCTCTTGAAGAAAAAAAACAACAACTTGAGATCTGGTCCGTGCAAATTTGGTCCTACTAAAAAGGCGTATAGGATATCAATGAACAAATTTCTCTCTTATCCAAAGCATGTGAAAAAAAGCTTACACACTTCATGCAGGAATTAGGAGTCAATAAATAAATATCTTACATTTTCATACACACAAAAAAATAACATGATTCCATTCCAGGATCTGCATATTGCAGTTGCTGCTGCTGTGGTTAAATTGACAGAAAAGTGTGTTTTAGGTATGTAGGTACAATATATTGCTCTCCAACTCAGCCCATTGTGCAGGTGTGACATTCAGCACACACACGCACATACTCTCACATGCACCCTCACATACATGCACGCACACCATAACAAAGACACATCATACAAACCAGGAGGTTCAGTGAACATACAGACAAACCACTATTGCCTTTAAGAGATGTGTTTGAATGCATCGTTCAGTGTTGTGTCTTTCATGTGGATTTATTTCAAGTTCCTCCACAGTGTCACTTGTGCAGTGTGATGGGGGCACATGGTGGAATCCTTGTGGCCATTTTGCCAACAGAAGCGAGGACAGTGTGTATGAGTGCGTAAACTAACGTCCCAGTCCACTCATCCTTTAGCCCTTTTTGGAGTTGTGTGCACTATAGGGGTGGGGATGTGTAACACTGGGATATTGCTCTGTTTGACGGGATGTAGGGGGTGTGTGGGGGGGGACGCCTCGACTTTTGCCTTTATCAACGCATTACAGGCTACCACATTACAACATCATCGGGGGTTTTCTCCATGATGATGAAGTTTGGTTAGGATGAAACGATAACATCTGGTTGTGCCAGGGTAACATATGCACCATGCTCACACAGGTAAAATAACAGAGGCATCCATCTTTTCTGTGGGGAGGAGGGACAGTAGAGTTTTCACAGTGTTCCTGGGGTCAACATGCAGGATGTTTGTACATTATAGGACACATTAGCAGTGATGTTGCCCCTGGACGCTGATCTAAGGTCATTCTTGATGTATATATGTCTGTTTGTGTGTTTGTTTTTTTTCTATATGGATTTTTGGGCTAAAAGCTGATCTTAGATCTTTTACTTCACACCTCAGGAAGACCACGCAGAGCAAACGACAGGGGCGAGAGAAGAAGGGGATAAAGGATGACAAAATAGAAGAACGACAATCAGGCAGGCAAGCGGACAAACGGACGGACGACGAAAGGAGAACAGCTAGGCGAGGGCTGCTCCCGCAAAGACACAGAGAAGCCAAAGTGCAAAGTGGTCGTTCTCGATCTATTCACATGGTTTGTTTTTCAACACTGAATTCTATCATACCTACATGTACGGCGTATAAAAGGTGTGATGTGTTTTTAGGAAAGGTAAAGTGAGGGACTGAGAAGTGCTGCTAACATGACGCTAACCCTATACTGAGTGTGAATATCTAAAATGAAACGTGAGATTTTATAAACATGTTCCTCTGTGTTTGCATCGATAACATTTTAATGTAAATGTTGCATAATGTATGCAGACATATGTACAATAGAGCATTTCTTGTGTGTGCTTGTGTATTGCACATTTCTTTAGGTGTGTGTGTTTTATGTGTGCATAATACTATATCTATTGGGGTTTTGTGCACACGTGTGTGTCCTCTCTCCCTGCCACCCCCCCCCCACCCCCATCCCCACCCCGCCTCAGCTACGGCCCTCCTCAGCTGAGCGCTGGTCTGACTTGAGCTTGACAAACTCTTTGGCAACGTCGTCATTGTTGCGCTGGGAGAGGATGCGCAGCACCGTCAGGCCCGTTTCGTCCATGTGGACGCGTGCGCCCAGCGGCATCCAGCAGGTGACACTGCTCTTGCTGGCGATTTCTTTCACCTGCAGCAAGGCAATTCCCACGGTGCGGTCCTCTCTGGCGAAGCAGTAGTCCTTCACGCACACCTGCAGCTCATAGCTCTCCGGCCCAACCTCAGTGCCCAACGAGCTGCAACACAAGACAGTTCATATCTGTGTTTTACTTCAGATACTTCAAAAACAAACCAGTATAGAATTCAACTTTCTATTCATCATTACCGGCTAAAAGCTGTCTCGACTATACAGAAGAAGATCATTGTCTGAAGTGATCCATCACAAATGTTTACTATAGTTTTTCTATTTATTCACAATAGTTTGTATATTTTAACTTGTCCTTTTATAAGGTTGGGGGGGGGGCATTTTTAATACTAATTAGTAGAAAGTTTTATTATACACCAGTACAAACATGTACATTTTAGAGGTTTTAGGGGTTGCCTTCTTGGAAGAAGACAGCCTCCTTACAACACACAGGTTACAGGCGCCACAGTCTTTCTCAATGTTAAAGAAGCTACCTTGGTAATATATTTGATTTGAGACTGGAAAATGAAATACCTTGTGAAGTGAACTGCTATGTAATGATGTGATTTTTAGTTTTGTAAGTATACCGTGCTGCTTGCACTAAGGTAAAATATAGCCTTTACACAATCAGATCCCAGATAATAGCAGATACTCACTACTGGAAGCTCTCACTAAATTTCGGAGACCAGCTGTTGTTTTTGGATTTAGTGGCAAATTTCCTCTTCTTGTCACTGAGGTGGGGGCCGATGATGTAGACCTCAACAAATGGCCTGAAGCCCTGAGCCTTCCACTTCAGGTCATTAGCAGCCACCACTGGAGGGAGGAAGCAAGGGGAGTTAAAAAATAAAATTCATTGTAGTGAGGAAAGATTTTACTCTGACCTGCTTTTTTTTTTTTTACCTTTCACATTGATCTTGTGTTCTCCATTAGGCTGAGGTAAAATGTCCACACACATAACCACCTCGCCAACTGCATCGACTCCAGAAGCTGTAAAGACACACAGTGAAGAAGATCAATTGTGTGTGTGTGTGTGTGTGTGTGTGTGTGTGTGTGTGTTGTAGTGTAGAGCTGATACATAAGACTAGAGGAAATGTGATGCATCAGCAGACTGTGACTAAATTTAAATATGGAAAAAGACTAGACACTAGCACACACACACACACACACACACACGCACACGCACACGCACACGCACACGCACACACACACACACACACACACACACACACACACACACACACACACACACACACACACACTTTCTGATGATCAGATGAGCAGGACTTGGCTGGGTAAATCATCTTCTGTGCCAACTCTCATGCTAAAAAATGGCAAAACTGTAATGCAGTAATAGCTTGCAATTTATTCTTAACCCTCTACTGACACTAAAGGAAGATAAAAGTGGACACATTTCCAAATGCAACCAAGGTTTCTGGAAAACATCCAGATCCTAGATCCTGATCTAGGAAAAAAACACATCCCATGCTTCGATTCTTATCAGATCCCTGCTGTTTGTACATTTATACTCTCTCGTAATCAGACATCAGCTGTCTTTCTGTGTGCAATCTACATGTACAACAAACTTCTTCTACCATAAGCAGTCTCATGTATAAGACATATTTCCTGCTATATTTCCAATAAAACAAGGGTTCAAATGAAGTGAGATGGAAATACAAAGCTAAGAGAGTCACGGTTCATAACAGTTTGATCCCACAGCTGTCTGAAGCGCACTGAGGGACATGCAGGTTGAAGTAACCCACCTTTCTCTGGAGGCGTGTCTTCATTGGCAGAGTACCTGATCCCTTTCCCTCCGTGGACTGAGAGACAGAAGAGCATCAGGATAGCGTACATTAGTAAAACTAAAAAGAAAAGAGGGTGCTTTGGAATGATGACATGAAAGAACTCTTTTTCATTTGTACTCTGACTTAAACTGCAATGCAAATAATAGTTTTGCATTTGCTGTCATTGCTACTGTAACTCACTGAAGCGATGAATTAAACATTTTCTTCCTACACTGTGAGCAAGTTATTCTATTTAATCCCATAATCCCATTTAATTCCATAAGCTTCAGTCACAGTAAGAATAAGCAGGAGAGCTTGTTTGAGAGAAACTGAAAGCCGTTTTGTGGTGAATTGTTTGAACCTGCTGTGAAACAATGTGTGTAAGAGTGTGTGGCAGTATGTGTGTGAAGCTGTACCCTGAGCGTTCTGCGAGAGGACAAACTTCCTGATCAACTTGTCCGTGGCCTGCGTGTACAGGGACAAGGCATAGCGTAGAGACTGCAGGTCTGGACTCTTTTCCAAAAATGTTTTCTTCAGGCCCACACCACCAGCGTGGAAATATTGCTGTGTAACAGAAGAGACATGACACACTTATGTCAGACTGGCAGAAACACAGACATAGAGTAGGACACAGAAAGCTCAGAGTGTTAAAATGTATGTGACAAAATGGTTCAATAATCTTGTCAGCCATAAAGATACTTTGGTAATGCTAACATCCATATACCTGCAATAGTCTACTCTCAACGTAACTATTACATTCAGTTCCTATTAAAGGTAAAAATGCTTAGAATATTTTTCATGTTGAATGTTTTCATAGCTCTTCGTTTATCCATGCCTCCAGATAAAGCAGCAAATACGCGTTTTTTAATAGGCTAAACCTCATTGTATGGTTGAATGGAATCATATTTGACCTGATTTAAATCACACAGATCCAAAATGTTGCTGCCAAAGCTTTTCTTATTTAGTGATCGTCTGTTTTTATGATTTCACCTTCCCTTAAACTTTGTTGCTTTATTAAGTATGATTCCATCTCCATCATGACTGAGGTAAGTGGACTGTGGAAAAACAACACTAAAAGCCAAGGGCTTCATCTGATGAGTTGATCAGTCTGTCAGTGCTTTTATTCAGAGAAAATGAAAGTGCAGACAAAAGTTAAATATTGTTAAGAGTGAGAAACAAGAGCGCACATTTCAGCATGTCAGCAGCTTCTCTATCTATGACGAGTCATACTTTACCTTAATAGTGTCCAGTGCTAGCTCTATGACTGCACATTGTTTAGGAGACAGAGCTTTGGCCTCCTCTCGCCCCATGTGCTCCTGCACGACAAATAAAACGTGTCAATCTTCACCACAGCTACTGATACAGTTTAGTCATTTTGTAAGACACTTCTTGTTCTGCCAGGCTGTTGTTGTTTTTTGGTCTATTTTGATCACCTTGAACTTTGACAGCTGGCCCAACTCCTTAGCAGCGTTGAAGATCATCTGAGTGCCCTGTCAAGGAGAGAGACAGACAGACAAGTGAGTGTAGTTAGGAGAGACAGAAAGAAAACAGTGGTTTGTGAGAGAAAGATGCAGCTGAGGAAGAATTGGAGAGTGAGAGTTGAGTTCAGAAGTTTAAGTGAGGACAGACGGCTGAAGATACTAGAAATCAGTTTAAAGAGTGAGGGTAAAGGAGTCAACCTACAGATTTGTTACGATTAGAATTACAGATTCAGAAGAGACATTTGGAGCACAGGCTTCATCTTGTGAGAGGAAGAATGTTTTAGTGCTTTGGTGTACAGTCAGTCAGTATTGCAGGGAGACTTTAATTGTATCTGATGCACTGTGCTACCATTAAAACCCACAAAGAAATAAACAGGTGACAGATGCTACAGAAGGTGTTGTTAATTCTCCTGTTAAAAAAAGTGTTTCATCATGCTTACAAAGACTGTACCCACACACACACATACTTACAATAACCTGAGAAAAGAAAGAAAGAAAGAAAGAAAGGCAGAGAGAATGGGGTACTGGTAAAATAGATGGCTTAATATCCAAAAACAATGAAACAGCAAAGAAAATCACTTTAGAAGCACAGACGAAAGAAGAGGAAGCTAAAAGGAGCAATAGTCTTTATTTATCACATACCGTCTGGTCAGTAAGTGTTGGAAGTACGATTGTTTTCTCCATTGTGTTCATGACTAGTTTCCACAGCTCCTTCAGCACTCTCTTCAGGACAGTCTTCTCACAGATCTTAGCAAACAGCGACAGGCTGAAAGATGAAGTTTCATTGGTGAGAAATCGAATTCATCTTTTATTCACTAATAAAAGCTCAACATTTCCGGGGGAAGTAGGTACTTTTTTGTGGTTTTCAACATGTTGAAAACTGTATCCAACAGTATCCAAAAATGGAAATATAATTTAATTCTGTTTTAGCAAAAGCAGACACAAAAGCAGTTAAAGTTAACTGATGTGCTTAGTTCAATTCAGATGTATTAGATAAACACACCCAGATTAACCAACTTCTCAATCACGTTTCAGAAAGCTTTTAAGTAGTATTTTAGTGTGATATCAAGTTGCACTGACTTGCTGTCCAGGAAGTCCATGATAGGCTGCAGGACGTTGTCGGCCTCCTGAACCACACTACCATTTGCTGGGACGGTTTGACCTTTAACCTGTGCCAGGATGTCTCCCATTTGCCTCACGTTGTCCTCAATCTGGGGCTGGAAACTGAATCACCAGACAGCAAAAACAACATTACAGCACACACACACACACGCACCTTTTTACTTCAACAGGTGAATCTCAAAGACACACCCACCTGACGGCAAAAATGCGGCTGAGGTCATCCATGACGCTATTGAGTTTGTTCTGCAGCTCTTTGAGGAAGTCGCTTGCCTCCAGGTTGAGCTGTATGAAGAAGAAGACGAATTTGATGAATAAAAGAGCCGTGTCATAGTAGCTCAGTTACAAGAATAATGACTGCATGTATGGAACTCACATCTTTTCCACCCATGGCCTCAAACATCTTCTCCAACTGAACTCTGAGCTGCTGGATGTTGTTGATGATGATACATGGCTGAGGGGAGATCGAGACGAGTCATTACACACACAGACACACACACACACACTCATTTTCTCTGTCTCTTTCCTCTGTCTGCTCCTAGCTTTTCATTGCAATCAATCAAGGTTAGTCCCTCTAACATTTTTTATTGCCTCTTCTGTGAAAACCCTCTGGGTGATGCAGGGCAGGAGAAGCAAGAGTTTTTGTAATTACTGCTCCTCTGGGGACTCCGGGTCTCTCTGGGAGTGCAGCCCACTTACACCACATTCAGCTAATTACAAAGCCCTAATTCACTTTGAGACACTCTGACCTGAGCGACAGCTATTACACTGAAGAGTGGTTTATTGTGGTGAAATTAATCAACTTGATAACGTACACCTCAAAACCAAGTCTTGATTAAGCTAAAATGCGTTCAAAACAGTCGTCACAGTTTATTCCACCGACTCAAGTTTCCATCTGGTGTCGTGCCCACCACCTCATACACCTACCACTTTCTCCTTCTTCACGTGATTTGGAAACTCTTTTGCAATGATGTCAGCATAAGACAGCAGGACGTTGCCGATTGTCTGCAAGCAAAAAAAGAGTATACAGTAACAAACACAGTAAGTATTCAGGTGGGGACATTCTGTGAGAACCTTAAAGGGTGAGTCACCTTGGCGAATCTCTTCATGTAGTTTCCAACGATCTGAGGATCTGGGCACTCGAGTTTGCGGATGATTTCAAAGCTCTGATTGAGCTGAGAGAACACGTCCACCACGGAGCAGGAGAACAAAGCATGCTCTGACGTGACCTGGAACTGTAGAATAGAAAGAAGAAGAGAAAAAGAACGGGACCAGAGGGAAAAGTATAAGAAGCAGCGCAGAGATCTGAGCACGATTAACATGACAGAGAGAAGTCAGATTCCCCCCTGAGAGCCACCCATGGGAGAAGTTCACAGTACTGTTATACATTGTGGCTGACAAAACTGCCCCTTCTTCAGCTGCATCAGAGTAAAGATTTGTGAGTAATTCCCCTGGACGGGAGCAATGGAGGCGAGCAGAGGGTTATGAATGGGAGCAAGTCCCTGATTAACAGCCCGGCCATTAGAGAACAGTGTTATGTGACTTGGAGTGGAGACTGCTGTTTCGCTGACACAGGGATGCAGAAGCTGCCTCTGGTCACGATAATTGGACCCAAAGGACTCCTGATGTATGAGCTGAGAGAATCTTCAGCTGCTCTATATCAACCCACTCTGTGTGTGGACATGTAGGTGTGAGAGACAGAGAAAGTATGGGTCGCTGTGTGGTGTGTGTGTGTGTGTGTTTAGCATCGACTCTTTACTGCAGTGAAGTTTTTTTTTCCTTGTTTGGTATGGAGTCTTTATTGATTGCCTTGAGGCTTTCAACCTGGTCTTCTCAGCCTAGAATGTGCCGAGTCAGGAGAGATAATGCCTGAATTTACATGAGTAATGCATAGATATATTTTAGAGGGAAGAAATGCTGCAGGTAGGACGTAAACTTTAAGCTTTCCACTGGTATTTTCTTACTGTGTCATCAGATTTTGAAGTAAAAACTTTGGTTTCACATGAGTGCCTCTTGCTTTCTTTTTCAGAACTCCTTTCTCAACATTTTCCGGATTAAAAAAAAGAAGAAAAGAAACTAGCATAGCCTTTTTAAAGGAATGAATTAGACATTGATTGGATATATACTGATTTCTTTAATACAACATTTAGATCACCTTAACTATATGTAAATACATTTAAGGCTACCACCGTCTGTCTGTTAGCTTAGATTAGCAAAAGGAATAGACACAGAGACTTCAGGAAGTCACTGCACCGCACAGTAAATAGTCTGCCACATGGTCCCTTGTACAACCACAAAAGGTCATGTCTATACTCCTGTTTTAGTTTTAATTAGTGAGCTTTTGAGGGGCAGGGAGATGGATTGTGTAAGCTTAGACAGAGACAGGTGAGCTGTTCCCTTTTCGGTGTCTTTATGCTGAACTAAGTTATCATGCTTTTGGTTGTAGCTCCATATTTACAGAACAGACTTATCTTGCATCAGAGACCTATGATCAAAGATTTGGAGGTGTTTGGTTTTATGTTGTTTTATAGCTCTCTTAGATGCAACAAACAAAGTAGGGTTTCTGTTAGTTTGCCAGTAAAACATTTGACATAGGAGGAATAAAGATTAAAGCAGTTACCCCGTCTTTTTTATCCCTCTCCAAGGCTCCATGTAGAAAATCTCTCGACACTTCTTCATTCTCATCCAACCACATGACGACAAATGGTTCGAACCAGCTGAAAAAAAAAGAAATGAGCATAGATTAAGTATTTCTGCCACCATGGTAAATGGAGGAGGAAAGGTGTACATGCTGTTATGTGGTACTCACGCGGGATATTCAGGTACGTGCTTCTGGAAAGTGGTAAGCTCCTTGCAGTACTCGTTATAGAGCCACTTCACCTTGAAGTGTAAGTTCATATAATCTGCACTTTTACACAGGCGGTTCTTCTCATGCTCTGAATATAAATTAGAGGGAAAGAATGAGGAAAGTCCCACTTCACCTCTTTTTATGAATCTTTTAAAAGCACAAATATTTAAGACAAACTAAGAGACAAACCACCCCTCTCTTTGTCTGGCCTGTGACCTTAACAATACCAACAACACAAACAGAAACCTACCCTCCATCGCGTACTTCATGTCTTGTGCAAACATATTCCACATGACCTCTGCACTGATCTTGCCAACATTCAGTTCCTGGGGAAACCTGTAAGATGCAGTTTTTAAGCTTAAATGCAGCTCGTTCCCCAGTAATAGTTCTCTACGGTTCTCACTCCATCTGTGTTTACTGTGTTATTTTAAACTGCCACAGACAGAGAAAGGCAACCAGTAGAGATAAGAAAATAAAAGACACTAATATTTTCATTGTCTCCCAAAACAACAAGAATGAATCCCCACAAAATATGAATCACTAGTATAAAACTATAGAACTAAACAATACTAAACTAACAGCTATGTAAGGGTCCCATTGGGATCTTACTGTTAACTACAACCAGCAACCAAAACAGCTGTTGTACTGGAATGACAGGTCTGTGTACACACAGGCTAAAGGTTTGCCTACAACCCACATTTCAGGTACAAAAATATACAGAATTAGGACAGAAAGATGTTTTTCTGAAGTTGCATGCTTCTTTTCTTTTTTCAGTTGGGTATTATTAGATATTGTGTGTACACGTCTAGCTTCTCTGTCAGAACTGTCAGGATAAACATTGTGGCTTCCAACAGCTTTTGCTCTAAAAAAAAATAGCAAATTTTTTTTTTCAACCAACCTTGCAATCTAAATTTGTAATGCTATATAAGATGTAATAAAAGAGCAAATGGCCAGATGTAATGTGCAGAGACTCACTGATTGAGACAAGGAGTGTAGGAGTTTTTGTCTTCCTCTATGATAGAGACGATAAGTGTGATGAGTTTGGACCAGAAGTCTAGGTTTTTGATGCTGGGACCTTGTTCATCTGGAGGGACAGCCTTTGACTGGAGACAAAAAGAGGTTAAGGATAAAAAAATGCATCCATCACACTTTTTTTTTTAACAGGGAAAGAAATACTGTTATGGTATCAATGGTATCATGTGCAAACACACACAGACTTACAGGGTCTGTCTGATATTCCCTGTTATAGAGGTCATGGCAGTTGTTGAAAATGTACTCGTAGGTGGAGTTGAGACAGGCTTTCACACAGTCTTTCACCACCTGGCTCGCCCTGGGGGGACTCTGCAGCTCCTGGACCTGAACACAAACGTTACACAACATATGGTTATATTCAATTCACCTCAAAGAACTGTCTGACACACACAGTCTGAGTCACTGTCTAAGCAGGAAGTTATCTCAGTGGGAATTCAACAATAAACTCACTGAGCTGTATAAATAGCACCAACATACATTAACACCCTGATGTGCGCACACAAACACACAGTTTTCTGATAATAGGTTCAGTTTGGATAGGGTAATGATTATGCTGATTCTCAGTTCACACCTCAGGCTAATTTCCAGAAAGTACAGGAGGTTTTCACAGTGTTTATTTCAGAGTCATGTGCTAATGCGTAATGAAAAGAACGAAAGGAGAACAAAATATTAATTTCAACATTTTTTTTCACCCTTACCTTCATCCTGAAGAAAGTGATGCTGGTCAAGAGATCAACTGTAGACTTTAAGTCTTGTAGTCTTTCAGGACTGCTGGCAGGGAAGTTATTCTGAAATGTGGACACACACAAAGGCAAAAAGGGCCAAATATAAGGTAAAGAAAAGAAATATATGTAGTAACCATATTGAGAAATCATTTTAATTTCCAACAAAAATAAGACAAAAGCATACCAACCCATACATGAATACACATATAGTCGACGTAATAAAGTGACTGCGGTAGTTAGTAACTTGGAATCGTAACATTTTGAGTTGATTCAAATAGATTAAAAGAGTTAGTACCCGGTACATGGATAAGTCAATCCTCAGAGAGTTGTGCAGCTGATCCAGCAGTTTGACAAACCTCTCCTTCTAAACAGAAAATGACAAGAAAACAGAACAAACCTCTCAGAATTAGAACAGCATCCCACCAATCAGTAACATTTGACTACACAAACTTTTGTCCGGTCTGACACCTTCAGCTGATTGGATGTTGAGAAAGTAGGCAGGGTCACACTCAACTGAATTTCATCCACAACCACAGAGGAGCCAAGAACAAGTTGATTTTAAAGACCTTTTCAAAAGCAGTATTCTTAACAACAGCATTTACAGTAAGGTGCATTGTCGTATATATATTTCCATATACAAAGACATGACATGTTTCTTTCTGAGAGACTCACACCAAAGTTTGATGCAGCAAATCTGTCAGATGCAGAAACGTTGTTGGAGGACTGGGTGGTGTGGGCGTAGTAAGCGTTGATGTTGGCAAGCAGGGTACTCATCACAGCTGGCACTCCTGGGCACATGTATTTAGATGACAAGCAGGCAAAGTGCCTTTGGGAGAGAAGAGGCAAAAAGGTTTTTATGTGCTCCTGATAATCATGTATTAGAAAAGATCTTGGTATACTCATAGCTGGACAGTACACATTGAAAAAAGAAAACTTTAGGTTCTAAACGGAATTAATCCAAGACTTAAATTTAAGGATTTGTTGCTTCCTATTTAACTTCCACATTCACACATTGAGAGTGATGGTTGAGGGACTTACGTCATGGCCTGGTAGATTGATTCTACTCCATATCTCATGGCAAACTCGTCCACTATCTCCTGGGCCGTCTCTTCAAAATAAACCTTCCAGGCATCGTCCCCTTTGGCATCCGGGATCTTTACAACACCGCCGTTCTGCTCCTCAGTGGTGTACTGGAACAAATGCTGAACAATGACAGCAAACAGGTATGAGATCTGAGCGTCTGATGAAACTATTATCACCTGTGTATTGACCTGAAGTGTTTGATTGTAGAACAAATCACATAAACATCTAATCAGTCAGTCATCAAGACAAGGATCCATAAATCAATGTCAAAGGCCTAAGATGTACTGTTGGAAAGCCACAAGCCTTAAATTACAGAGAAACATTGGGGTCACAAAAAGCGTCATTCAATGTTTCAGATAGCATTAACAAAAATAGCATTAATAATAAGAAAGATGTGAGAAAAATCTCTTTATCTCATACAAACTGCTCATCAAGCTGGTTTTTGAAGACAAGAATGCAGCAGATGTCTATTCTTGTCTCCTAATAATGGACATGTCTTAAATTTGTACTTATTAAAGCGTATTTAATATGAACATGATGTAAAAAGAAACCCACACACATTCACTACCTTTGTCTACATTTTCAAACTAAACACATTAGTTTAACGTTGCCCAAGCTCTTCCCCAGTGCTTTAATTTTTACAGGAGGGTGACTCAGCTTCTGTTTACAATCCTGCAGTTCAACAGAATTATGTATGAAACTTTGAAATAGCCTGTAGGACTCTATGTCTGCCCCATTTCCAGAAAGTAATAGCTCAATAATTACAGACACTAACTAATGATGTCAACTGCAAGAGACCTAATGTTGGTTATTTCATTCCTTATATGAAGGAAAGCAAATTCCCAGCATGCAGTGGCAGAAACAGAGTTTACAAGGTGATTGATTTTGTTACTGTGAAACACAGAATTGCATTGCCTGTAACTAATTAGCTGGCAGCTCTTGCATATTTTATGTTTTATTTCAAGTTCAAATAATCACAGCAGCATTTACTCTCCGACTGACCTCATGTAGACAGGTGTACTGAACATGGTATGGGGCAACTGTCTCCTCTCCTTTGATCTCCACACTGATGTGCATCCGGATGGCTCCTGACACAGCAGACTTATCAGTTCTCTTGTCTGTCAAATACAAGGAAGATACACATGCCTGTTTAGTTGGCTAATCTTGTTCAATCTACAAGAGACTAGCAGTTAAATTTTCTGTTTCTTGTTCTTTTATCTCTGAGTGACTTCCTGCTCTGCTCATCCATCTCTAATTATGCATTTCCTTTTTTTCTGTCTTAAAATAACATACCTAGGTTGTACCAAACGTCCATCTCCCCGCTCAGAGTCCGGACTTCAATGATGGTTTGACCCAGGAAGTCATCGCTTTCACGTTTAAACCTTTGTTTCACACGTGACTTAATGTCATCATCCTCATCCCACACACGAACCTTTATGCGGTCAGATGAGTTGTGGCATTCGCTGGATGAAGCAGAGACAGAGGTGAGTCATTACTAAAACACAGAATAAAATATCTGCATTAAAACTGCTATGGAGACTTTTTTCTTGGTACTCACAAATGGAAATTTTCTTCCCAGACGGGGTTGAGGTTGCCGTAGATGGTCTTGGTTCTCTTTTTGGTCTTTCCAACTTGAACAGTCACATAAGGATCACTAGAACCCGTTTTGTCTTTAGCCTGCAGACCCTGAGCACATACAACTGAGGGCGAAGGAAAAGACGTGTGTCCATTTAAACAAAGTCTTTGGCAGCTGTAATATTAGCCTCAGAAAACATTTTCAGTGGTAGAAAAGAAAACCCAAAACAGCAAACATGGACTTCACATTCTGTACAATGTTTGAGCCTCAAACCTTTAACCCCACAGTCAGGATAAAATAGCATCACTTACCTGTGATGCTGATCTTGGCTGACCACTTAGAGGTCCCATCAAGCACGCTTTGCTTGATTTGTTTCATTTGAGTGCCGTGCGTTGTTTTGTCGAGGGCAAACACTTCCAGAATGAGCTCAAAGATTTCCGGCTTGTTCCTCTCTCTGATCTTCATGCGGTCCTTCAGAACCATGATGATGTTCTGGGTTCTGTCCTCTGCACCATGCTTGGAGCACTTTTCTGCTGCTCCTGATGAGATGGATGCATGAAGACAGAGACAATGGGTCAATAGTAAGAAATGTCAGACTAGTGGCTTATCTCCTCCTTCTTTTTAAAGCTGACAGCTAAGTTAAGAAAGGATCAGATCAATTTTATTGTCTTTGACAATCCCTGGCCTGAAATCAAACCCCAAACCTTCCACTATATAAAGGGAAACATCATCCATGTTACCACATATCTGGTCAGGAAAAATGAGCTGGTAGGAGAGTAAAAGACTAACAGATGCTTTTGGCAACAAGATCTTATGAGACTCTTTGGAGACAGCAGAGCAATGAATTATACATTGTGTAGATTGAGTCTAAAAACAGTATGGGAATAGGATAAGTCACCCTTGTGGAGCTGAATTACACAGAGCAGTATGAATGCAAAGGCTATGAGTGGAATAGAGAGAGGAGTGAGGTAGAGGTATGACAGCACATTACTCAGGAGATAAATTGGCAAGGAAGAGGGAGGAGAAAGTGAGAGAGGATAGAGGACAAGAATAATGGGATGTCAATCTGGCAGAAGGATACAGAGGAGGAGCTAAAACAAGTTTAGAGTTTGTGTGCAAACCCTATGTGTGTGTGTATGTGTGTGTGTCTTTGTAACTGAGTAAAAATAGATGAATATGTTTGAAAGACTGCTTTTGTGCAAAAGCTCTTACTTTGCAGACAGTCAGCATTCAGCAGATCCTGGCACTTATCATGGCATTTGACGCCACACTCAGAGCAGCGCATGCCTTGTCGGGCGATACCCCATAGCAGCCCCTCACATTCGTAGCAGTAGGTGGGGGTGGTGGCTGTCCACACCTCAAAGTTATGGGGTGTGGTGGAGGAGATGGGGTAGATGAGAGCCTGCAGGGTCTTCTTATAAACATGACTTTTCTGCAAAGAGCGTGGAGAAGAGAAGTTTGATATCATTGTAAATTCTAAGTTGGTTGTGAAAAAGGGAATGGGACTGAGGGAAACTCACCAGCTCTTCGTTGCCGAGAGTGGTGGAAGCCATGGCCGAGGTGATTCCAGCCTTACGAGAGCTCTGCACTAGAGACTTGGAACAAGAGAGCAGAGAAAAATGTTTATGTTTGTATCTAAACCGTGCTGGCACTTTTGAAAAACTATTTCATGTTTAGATTTCTGTAAACATGTACTCACCATAGCCTGATGACGCCAGGCAGCGATGAAAAGAGGATTGAGAGACAAAAATGATAAAGAAATGGATACAAAAATATTCAAAACTGTACAAGTGTTATGATGCAATATCGGTATGTGTCAGCCTCTAATATCTGATGTATGTAACACTCTGTATGCCATCCAGGAGACCAGTGGCACTACATTGATTAATGACTGCAATTAAATTAACACCACAGATACAATGCAAGCATATAATTATTCAATGGTACGAGTGTATGACACAGCTGTGGAATGAGCTACCATCTGAAATCCACATGAGTAGGCTAAAAACACATTGCTCCCAGAGGAGGATATCTAACTACAGTATGTATAAAACCTTGAAGGCAGGAAAAGAGAATGCTTGTTTTTTTAAACAAAGTTGAGATTAAGAGAAACCAATGATCTCCAGGTCACCCAGGGCAAGACCCGTGTATAATTTGCAGATTTGTGTGTCTATGTTCGTTTCTCACCAGATCTCTGACTAGAGGAATGGCTTTCCTCTTGCGAAGGTCAGGCATGCTGTCAATACTGTAAAGTGCACCTCCCATTCTAAAGAGGAGAAAGAGTATCAGTCATAATACATTAATCAGTATGAATGGCAGATTTTGAAAAGTATATCATCAATATACTTTTCAATGAAATTGTGTTTTGTTACAATGGGGAAGATGAAATTTCCCTCTATTTTTAGAGGTGACATGACACTCCACACAACTGGCTATAAATTGCTAGGTTTCTATTTGGGCAACTTTGCACTTCTTTAGTATGCAGCCTCAGTTCCACACTGAGGTTTTCCTCATCTACAAATGACCTGCCAGCTAAATCAGGGCAGCCCATCGCTGTTCAATACTGCCTGGCCAAATGCCACAAGCTGGATGAGCCTGCGGATCAGAGTGAAATAGAACAGAGGATTCCCGGACAAGAGAAGGGCATCTTCAATCTGAGGCAGGGCGGGGTGGCAGGTTTCCATGATAATCTGAGGATACTTTTACTTGATTTATTGGATTATCTTGACTGATTCATTGTGTGATTTATAATGTGTTCAATGTAAGAGGAAGTAAATTATTTGAGCAATCGACAGAGCATACTCACCCTCCTTTACCAAACCACAGAGAGTTGGAAGTCTCCCCGCGGGCCTGAGACAAATAAAAAAGGAATAATAAGATCATCCCTGCAGTCTTTTCTGGTGTTTATTTACGAGGCTGCATCACTAGACCTTAATTAACCGATTTTGAAAGTGGTTTATCAGTCCCTCCACTATCTAAAACACATCCCATTATTGTATTACTACATCAGTCATTAAAAGGGTGCTGGGTTGGATAAAACTCCTGCACAGAGCTGTTGCTCAAACATCCGTTGAATGCTTTGAACAATTTATACAACTGGTAATAAAACTAATGTTCAACTATAATAACCAAAATTTTAAATAAATATTAAAATTTTTCATAAAATTATAGCAAAGTAAATATGAACACAATTCACAAATCATTTTCCCTTCATTTTAAAATCAGACATGTCTTATTATGTCTCGCTTAAATCAGACTGAGTGACATCTGCTGAAGAAAAGACACTATCAAGCTCTTATGAAGATGAATGATTGCGTGAAGATGCCTGTTTACAGACAGTCAAAAGTTCCACAAGTCAACTGTTTCACGCATACCCCTCTTTCTCTCAAGCAACCAATTGGGATACCTACCTGTCAGCATGCTCCAATGATGGCCGAGCAAAGTGCATGCGAGTGTCACTATGGCAATGACATGAAACTGGAAAGAAAACAAAGTGGGTCGGCACAAACAAAGAAACAAACAAAAAAAGGACAAACGAAAAATAAGCAAAATGTAAAATAACAAAACGCGACATACATCAACATAAACATCAAAGCAAGTGATTAATTATTTGTTCAACTGAATTCCAACATAATGAACAGCAACATAATATGTGAATAAAATATGCAAGTGAAAACTGATCAAGCAAAACTTAATGTGCAATAAAAACAAGCAGTTTTGGTGGTGTGGTGCTTTAACAAAGCCAAAACAAAAAGGTTGTTGTCATTCAAGCTTTTAGTGTTTTTTGTTTTTTTTTACAAAAAACAAAAATAGAAGCAATTCTTCAATGTGAAAACCTTGAGCCTTGTTTCTGGTATCTAGCAAAAATCACCATCTACTGTATATAGAACTCAAGAGCTTAGTGTGTGCACCAAGCCTTTGCAAATAAATAATGCACAACACATCCATATTTCAATTACTTGGTGGACACTTTTAGAGTCTATTGAACTCAGGAATATCTTTAATATGACAGGATAGAGCTAAATCAGGCTTGCAGCTCTGGGATGGACTGGACTGGAATTTGGAGTGAGGGTGGGGTTCAAACCTAGAGTTAGGAAACACTTGTGGTCTTACCTCCCGAAGCTGTTCTAAGACTTTGTTGTAGATTCTGAGCCAGTTCTCTTTGGCTCTGACTGCTGGATCCACTGGCTCTTTTGGCTCCTCTATGACTGGAGGACTACAAATAGAAAAACAGTTTCTAATTTTAAGTAAAAATATCTTCATTTTATACATTTATAGAATTTGCACTTAATGTGTTTTTTCTCTTGTTGTCTATTTTAGTTAATTCATTGATCTGATTCCCCTTCATCCTTCTCTCCTACCTCTCAGGAGGCATCTCTTTTTCCTCTACTGGCGTCGGCGGCCTGCTGTCATCAAAACGCTCATCTGTATCCTCCTCTGGGAGCTCCTCCTCTAGTTGAGCAGGAGGTGTTGGGGCCTCCTTCTCCAATTCCATTTCCTCTTCTAGCCATGGTTCTTCCTCCAGGTAGAGATCCTGTTCCTCGGGTAGTTCTGACTGGGTGGTAGCAGGACCATTGGGTTGGGATTGAGGCTGCCCAGAGGCAGGGGTCTGTTGGGAGGGAGGGCCCAGAGAAGCGTTGGGGGGCTGGGAGGCTGAGTTAGCCATGGTGGCTGGGTGAGATGGAGGGACAGAGCTAGTTGCAGGAGGCTGCTGTTGCTGAGAAATGGCTGAGGCTGGAGGGTGAGACTGGGCGGGCTGAGCTGCGGGAACAGAAGACAGGAAAGTAGAGGCCAAACCTGTGACCGCAGCAGTTAACGGTTTGGCCATTGAGAAGAAGGAAGTGGCGGAGGGGGCTGCCTGAGGCTGAGGCTGAGGCTGAGGCTGAGGCTGTGTTTGGGGAAGGGGCTGTTTAAGAGGTTGGGCTGTCGGTTGACCAGAAGTGGGCTGTGCTGATGGGGGCATGCCAGGAGGATTAGACTGGTTGGGTGTTTGGTTAGGGGGTTGAGAAGTGGGCTGCTGTTGATGTAAAGACGGTTGTTTTTCGAGAGGAGGTCTAGAGCCAGGTACATCCAAAGTTGTGGGAGCTGTTGATGTTGGGGTGGGGGTGAAAGGAGGCTCCAAGTCCTCACTGAGGGTCCCATCCAAATTGTACAAATCCTCATCATCATACATCATCTCCTCATCCTCATAGAGTCCTCCTTCTTCTCCCTCATACAGTCCTCCATCTTCCTCCTCATAGAGAGCTGCCTCCTCTCCTCCATCTTTGCTGTAGCCGCCCTCGTCACTGTACTGCCCCTGGGTCTCATCAGGGTCCCAGTCTGGAGAGCCTTTGCTGTAGCTCACAGATGAGTGGCAGGAGTGGTAGGAGTCATTCTCGTCGTAAGGGTCCCTTTCTCCATACTCGCCTCCGTAGTCCTCCTCGCTCAGTTGACTGCTGCAACGACTTAGCTCTGCAGATGAGGCGTAGCTCCCTGAGGGGCTGAAGGGAGGAAAGGAGAGGAGGAAACAGTAACCAGAGAGTTATTACTAAAGTCTTTAAGAAGGATGTAACTTTGCAGTGAACACAGAGTCACTTTAATTCAGGTTAGTATTGCACATATATGTACATATATAAAATGATGACTAGTAATCTCAAGTACCACCTTACAATCTGTGCACATTGTACTCTATTGGGAAGCCCTACAAAAAACCTCTGCTATATGTCTTGGAGTGGCCAGGAACCATGCCGATGGCTAATCGATGAAAAGCACCAGGGATACAAGAGTACCAGACAAGCAGAGAGAAATAGAGCAGAAGAGAAAGGTGAGAGGCCTCCAAAAAGCTGACAAAAGAAAAAAGCACAAGCATCCAGAAATGTAGCAAACAGGGAAAAAGTATTTATACTCCTTGATGAATGGGACTATTAAAAACAACAAGAGGCACAGAGAGGAAGGAGGATGGATGGTAGGAGAAGAAGATAGTGAAGACAGGAAGGAAGGGAGTGGTAAAGCGCAGAGACAAATAGAAGAGAGCAGGGATGAAGAGAGTCTAGAGAGCTGAGAGGAGGAGATGAAGAAGAATGGGAAGGGGGGGTGGCTGTCCAATACACTCACAAAAGCAGCTAATCTTATGTGCAGTATTGACCATTAGATTGCCAGTTGAATTATTCATAAAGCGGGAGGTAAGGGATGCATGGTTGCATTCCCAGTCTGTGAGAGATATGTCAATAACAGCTGAGAAATGTAGCTGCATTGTAAACAACTCTGAAAGAGAAAAAGTGTTTGGTCTGAACATCCCATGAAGGACACAATGCATGACAGACTTTCACTGACTGCTCTCGTTCACTCATAGGCTTTCTTCACTTATGGCATTTTTTGACATATCAACGTAGGAAGAGCACATGTGTAAAATAAAACAAACAGCTGAATTCCATTTAGGATCCTGGTATTGCCAACAGTTACACCACAATCATTTCCTAGGATATGTGAACAGTAGAGAGAAAATATTAATTTAATTTGTAAAACTTTAGCTATTCTCACTATGGCAAGAGAAAAGGTCTGCCAAGAGAGAAAATACCATTATTAAACCAATTCTCACTCCTAAGACGAACAGACGTCAGTTATTAACTTCTTTCTAAATTTGCACTGATCTTAACATCCCCAAAAGACATCATCCCTGTTTAATTTAATGAAACAACAGTTATTTCATTAATTAATGTATTCGTCAGTTCAGAGAAAATGAAATGACATCCAAAATTATATCAACACAATGTGCATGTAATGCATAACAACAGCCACTGGGGCTAAAAGTGGCATTGCAGCAGCCAGATGGCAAATCATTGCCAGTGCCACACAACAGTATCACAAATAGACCCAAAACTGACACTCTCACATTAGCCACCATAATCTAGATCATTCCATAAACCTGCCACCATATCAGACTATGCTAGTAAATGGTGCATTTATATGATTTTTTATTTCTTTTAGTTGTAAATGTTACATGTGTTAATCTCTCTGTTATTAGTTGTGCAGACCCTCTTGTCTTAAATTGAACTGCTTCCAGTTCAAATGTGAGGATCTTCTGTGTGTTTCTGTTTCATCTCTTTATGCAGAATGGGAATTCAACTGTTGGTTAAAAAAAACAACGAGTAATCTGAATTCCCCTTGTGCACTGTAATTGTAATACCAAACAATGAATCCTTAAATTTGACAGAATAATCAATGATGAATATAATCATAACTTCAGTCCCGATAACATTTAGCAGACACACACCTGACAGTCCTCTGTTGGTTGTATTCGAGGTCCTGGCTGTTGCCAGAGCGTGGGTAAGAGTAACTTCTGGAGTTGCGATGCTGCTGGCTGATTGGATACTGGTGGACAGAGGCGTTGGGCTGGGATGTGCTGTAGAAGGGAGGGGGGATGCTGTTACTGGTTTCGCTTCGGTAGTCGCTGTCTCTGTCATCCACTGCGCTGTCAGGATCTTCATCTGCACAGAGGCAAGAGAAGGAATGCATCAGTTGAGGGAGAAAAGGAAAAAAGTTCTTAATTTTTTAGCAAATAAAGGCAAGAAAAAGAGCATAATGAAAGTATTCGTCCCAATTGGAAACTTGTCATGTTGCACACAGATATAAGGCTTAATCAGCATTGAACCAATCTGTTAGTACCAGGGTAATTGCAGATAATATAAGTGAGATGGCAGTATTCAACTTCTGAACCCCATCATAGCCCTGTAGGTCATTTAGAGTGCATCCATACATGAAGCACATAGTGCACATTATCGACAGCTTCTTCCTCTGTCTTATCATTATAACTGAACATAAATTTGTTCCTGCTCATTAAAGCTGATTCTTAATTTTTTGTGGTGTCCATAGATCAGAGATTAACATCCAAGAGGGAAGTGAAGAGAGACTTTAACACTGCTGAATCAGTCAAAATTGAAACCAGCATGTATTAATCATTTATCTCCATCCATCGCCGGCCCTCGCACTCTGACGAAGGCAGCGACTGCACCGCTTACACCTCCATCTTCATCCGTCTAGGCGTGAAAACACTAATTAAAGGTATCAAACTTTTTTTCTCCTTTCAACTGTGTCCAGTCTCCCCCCCCCCCCTCCGTCTCTCTCTCCCAAATCTATCTTTACCCCCTGACTCTTTCCTTTTCTCTGTGATCGGGGGGTGAGATGAATTGCTGCACTTGTGTGGGTGAGTCTGACAGACACTTATATAAGACCATCTGCTAATCACAGCAGGAGAGAAAGAGAGACTGAGAGGGAGAGAGATAGAAAGAAAACATTATTTTTAGTTACTTGTTCCTTTACATATATATCTGTTATATAAAAATCACAAATTAACATGAAAATAATTGGCCCACTTTAAGGAGTGATTAGGTGCAAATGTGACTGCACATTAGTAATAATATTCAGCCAAGAACCTTTAGTGAGTACCTCTCACTTATTTCACATCAGTTGGGATTCAAAGTCATTGTGACAAGTATGCCTTTTTGTAACGGTATAACAAGACCCAAAAATGTCATTTTTATGTTTAAAATTATTTTCTTTTTCAATATAAATATTAAAGTGAAATCTTTAATTATTTGGACATATTTATTTCTACTTATGTGAAAAGTATGTAAAAACATTTGACAGTAAGACCAAACTAACTGCTAGACACAAAACACTTCAATCTAATAGGGGGATAAACTTTTTAAGGAAATGTTAATTAAACTTTTGTCATTCAGACTAGCTTCTTACTATCTCATCTTAAATCCTCTGATAATTGTTTTGCACTCAAACACCAAATCAAATTCCAGGCTTGTATGTGTAAATTTACGTGGCAATAAAAACTGATTTTGAATCTGGTTCTGATTTAAGGGTGCTTAAAGGACAAAGTGAAGACTCTCATATTCTCAATTAATGAAGAACACAGCATTACAATAAATAGAAATGTCTGTGGAACTGTACTGTTCATGCAATATGCATGTAAACATTCTCACAGTGTATCTGAGAGTCAGCACTTTCCCTTCAAACTTTTTTGCGGTGGACTGCAGATCACACAAAAATGTGACCATCCAGAAACTTTTGTACAGTGTGTACTGTATATACACTTACTTTGTTGGTCTCCCCAAAGACTCCAGTTACCTGCAATAAAACAGAAATGTGTCAGTATTGATAACTAATCCTACTGAAGTCCAAACATAAACATGTACCGGTATTTGTGCCTTCAATGCTTCAAAGTTCCCACATGGAGCTAATGAATGGAAAGAGAGCACAGAGAGTGGTGACACTGGTGAGACTCAAGGTCCTTCAAGCGGCCTCAGAGAGCTGGCTCAGCAGGCTCGGCAGACTGGACCAATAGTTGAAGAGCATCAGCATCCTGGAGGCGCTAAACCTCCCGACATCTAATACCTCTATTGATCCTTTACAGTGGAGTGATTCAGATCCCTTTACCTCTCCGACACAACCCATGTGTGGTTAAACACATTATGCACATGCTGAGCTACAGCAATCTAATTACATTTCAACAGCATTATAATTCTCTTGTTCAGCAAAATCAAATGTACAAACGGCTCAGTCACTTACAGCACTGGGTTCCTGGTGCGCGGAGGGGGCGTTCTTGCTCCTCCTGGTATGAATACAGGAATCAAACAAATAAAAAATCAGAAATGACACTTACAAATCTCATGATTGTATGCAGGAAGCAGACAAACTATAAAGTTCAGCTTTGAATTGAACATATGTCTCCACCAATTAATCATGTTGGCATGTTCTTAAAATGTGAAAATGTGATGGGGTATAAATCAAACATGGTGATAACTTACATCTTGGTCCCTCATGGCGTTGAGCTGCTCCAGTTTTTTGGCCCAGTACCGTGCCTCATCCTCAGGGATATCTGATACATGAGGTAGACAAACTCAGGTGAAAAATACCATCCTAATGGAGCACCTTCTACAACGTATGTAGTCTGTTAAAATATTTGGTTACAAACTATTCCCAAGAACTGATAAGTAAGCCCCAACCAATTTTCCTATATTTGACCCAGATCTGTTTTTAACAACATCCAGAGACTTACAGTTACTTTTTGACCTGCTCAAAGACATTGACTTTGAAAACCTGCTTTTTCACTTAAAGCCCTAAAGCTAAAAACCTATAAATAGGTCTGCTCCACAAACTGAGGAGTCAGGTGGCAGTATCGACTAGAGGAAGGGGAAACAGTATGAAATTAACACCCAATCAATTCTAAGAAAAAGCTTGATCACTGAGAAGGAAAGGACACAAAGGTTCTCCCTGGCACACATCGAGCCTGAAGTACATATCACAGAAAATAGGTCAGGTTGACTGATCAGCCAGAGAGATTATTGGTGTTCATATATCACTGTTTGCTGTGAAAACACACAGACGGACATTATTTGTTTAAGTCATCTGCTCCTTCCCCTGAGGGTTGATGATGCTCTATATTTCATTTGTTTTAATCTGAAAATCTGTCTCATTTTTTATCAGTTTCTGATTCCACTGTGAATATTGATTTCTCACCAAGAGGCAGTTCGAAGCGCGTGTCGAGCAGCACCAGGTGAAGAGTGGGTTCTTTGGTGCCACATATCTCATTATCGGTCATGATGACCTGAGAGTCCAGTGTGAGCCACTCGCCTGGACCTTCCTATGTTCAAAAAAACAATCATTTGGCAGTTTACTCATCAACAAAAGGAGAACAAGGTCAACTCTGAGTGAGTTAGTCCCTTGAATCTAACTGAGTACAGCGTGTTCTGCCACAGTATGTCTCAAGTGGCAGTGGTGGTTAGTGGCAAACCTCATTAGACTGTCGAATGCTCCGGAGGGGGATCCACACCGTGCCGACCATGGTGTCCCAGATTAACCCTTTGTTCCACACCTCTACTGTCAGACCCAGGTCCAAGCGGTTAATTTCGCTGGATAGAGAGAGACAAAGAGACAAGGTTACAAATCAGGACACACATTAGGTGACTTAAAAGTGAAAAATACATTCAAACACTGCTGTGGACACTGACACAACTACTATACTACTATACTATAAGTACATTATTGAAGTACTTTACTTTCTTGCCTATTTCCATTAATGTTTTCTTAATTTACTGGAGCCTGCCTGATATATATATATCATCTGATATCATCAGACAAATATGGGATTATCACAGATAAATCTGTTTTAGCATGTTTACTGTAATAGAAATGTTCATGCTAATTACGAATTGGAGTCCATCCATTATCTGTACTGCTTTTCCCATTCGGGAGGGTGCTGGAGCCAATCCCAGCTGTCATTGGGCTGGGTACACCCTGGACTGTATGCCAGTCAATCTCACAACTGACATATAGAGACACACTCACATTCACCGGGCAATATAGAGTCACCAATTGATCTAATTCACCTAACGAGCATATCTTTGGACTGTGGGAGAGAGCCCACACATGCACAGGGAGAACATGCAGACTCCGCACAGAGAAACCTGTTCCGTCGAGGATTCGAACCAGGGAACCTCCTCGCTGTGAGGCAACAGCACCACTGTGCAGCCCTCGAATTGGAGTCAACATTTATATTGACAAGAAGACTCTAAATATCCATATATTTCAGCACTGTGGACTGTACTAGAACAAAGATTTAATGAGTTTTTCATTGACTTGTCAGATGTCTGACAGTCACACCACAAAGAAGGGGCCCTCAAAATGATGGTTTATTTGAACAATAATATTAAAAATAGAGTTAAATTATCCAATCGTTTCTCTAATTCAAATGTATCTTGTGAACCTTTGGATGGCCTGCTATGTTTAGAACCAATAAACTACATTTATAAAGTAGTTCAAAGTACGTCTACTTCTGTCAGCCACAGCAGTTAAATGACACTTAATAACACACCAATAATGTCGTATATTATCTTTCATTCACAAGAGCCGTCCGTGTTTGTTAATTTTAGTTTAGTTTATTTATTTAAGTCAAGTGAAGCACCCGAGTACTTCTGCTGTTTAAAGATAAGTGCTAAACACACACTGACACTCAAACACACACAAGATGCACAGTAACTACTGGTGGGCTTCACTGTGACAAATATAAAACACCTCTCTGTGGGAGTGAGCCGGAGAGAATGTCACATAAAACATTTACAGGGAGCAGGACACGGAGGAAAGAAAGAGAGGGAGTGGGAGGTAGAGCGAGGTGAAGAGTGTGATGAAGGCAGTGGAGGAGGTGATTGTATCGCATGCCTGGAGGGACAAAGTGGGAACTTTAATTAAGAAATAGGGGGACTGGATTTCCCGTCTCAGTGGTGACTCCTTTTAGGAAACGTGATGTTTGATTCATGACTGAGGGGCGCAGTCATTTAAAGGCTGTTTGAAGGAGGGGATGAGGCTCTCTCTGCAGCCCAAACATTACATAACAGGGCTTCACTGATGCAACCCCGGTACAATGCTCAACGCCTCCGAACATCATACAGATGAAGAAGACTCCGCAGTCAGCTCGCCTGCTGCATCCCACATGCAAAACGATTCTCAGCATTAATCGCCCGAATGCTGCCACACTGTCAATACCACACTGGATCTCACTGCATGAGAAATATCCAGTGTTGTGTAATGTTTAATTGAATGTTCTATAGAAACATCAGCTTAAACAAGTTTAAAAATAGCAAATGCTGCTGAATGTGTCTAGAGAGTTGAAATGGGAGAAGAGGCATGTATGTGGGGTATGTTGGAAAAATTAAGGTTGAAATGGGATGAGAGGAAAAAGGGAGGGTGGAGCAGATGAAGATCAAGGATCTGGGTTTGGAGGAAGAGACAGAGGAGAGGGAAGAGGGGCTGGGAGGGTGCTGAGGTTGAAAAGGAGGATGAGAAGTGTAGGAATGTCAGGGGAGAGCAGATGAAAAAGAGCATTAACTGGAACTGGAGGTGCGGATGTGGGAAGGAAGAGCTCTGTGAAACAATGCCAGGATAAAGGGCACTTGAGGTGGAGCAGTGTAAAAGAAAGGAGGCAAAAAGGCTGATTAAAAAAACAAGAGAAGAACAAAGATGTACTCAGCTGAAGTGGAGAGTAGGAGAGATGATGGAAAGCAGAGGAAGGAGCAAGGGAGCAGGAGATACAGAAGTAGTGGAGACAGAGACAGAGAGTTTTGTGTGAAGATGATGAAGGACTCACAACATGAAGTCTTGCTCCCAGCTGGGCAAGTTGCCCCTGACAGCAATGGTTGTGCTCTTCACATTTTGTACCTTGAGGGTCACATAAGTGTTGAACTTCTCTGTGAAAGAAGAGGGGGGAGGAAGACAAGCGTTAATAAAACACCTCTGCATAGAACAAATGAAATGCAGTCCCTGAGACATAGAAGTGATATTCTGCAGGACGACTAACTTCAAATCCATTTATTTCTATTCATGGCTGCAGCATGTTATGTGTCCGCACACTGCTTATACATTTTTGTCACATAACAGCAAGTCTCTCCTCCCTGTGTGATCCACCTCTTATTATTTCCAGGATTCATGGTCTTACCTTGGGGTCCATCCAGCTTGGCTTTCTTCACTGTGGAAACACAGAGGGACAAAGTCACACATTGGAACACCATCTGTTTGCATTTCTGAAAGCTCAAGCATTCTTCTATTCTGCCTTTTACACATCTAATAGGCCAAAAAAGGATATGTGTGTGTAACATTAAAACTGTCTCTGAGTTTTTTAATAAAAACAAAAGTAATACCTGGAAAAACCCCAACATTGACTAAGAATTGATTACATCAGAGATATGTTTCTTTTAACCACCATCTGGCACGTTATACGCAATGCACATCAAACATACTAAATGACAGTTTTCACAAATCACTGAAATTACACCTATAAAGCAGATTTGTAGTTATTGCTCTGCATATTTGGCCATAAGGTCCAGACATGTTGGCACTGAGTGGGGTTGCAAAATACAGAAACACACAGTGCTGTAAAAACAAGGGCAGCTCTCCCGTTGTGCTTCATCAGTGTGGGACACAGAAACAGAAAGTAGATGACAACTAAAAAAAATAAAAATAAAAAAGCGAGCACATATTGAAAAGATAACCTGTGTCCTAACATTTTATTTCTTAAAATGTTTTTATAAAAAGAAATGATTGTTCATTTTTTAAGACTTTCATCAGAAATCACATCAACATGCAACATCCAAGTCATATCTATTAACTTTGTCTTTATTTTGCAGGCATTCAGAGAGTAGTGTTGCTGAATTTTTTTCAGTATGCAGTTAGAGCTCTTTCTCTCTCTGCAGCACTTTCAGACCAGTTTTGACGTAACTCACACATACATTTTTTAAGCTCTACTACCCGCTGCTCTCCACATGCTCTAGCATAACCACAGCACACTGCAGTTGTTTCCACACCATACAGGACAAACGTGTATTCATAAAGAGCTCAATACATTGCTGTGTAAACCACCTGACACCTTTATTACCCCCGGGGGAAAAAGGAAAAGACCACAGATTATTATCTTACCTTCACACAAGAACAAACCACAGTGACCACATCTGTGAAGCAACACATACAAATTGAGGCTAAATCTGCATCTTAAAGAAGCAAGGAGTGCACGCGCACATATACCAATAAGAAAACACTTCAGCAGCCTTGATGTCATACGAAAACAAAGCACACGCTTAACACACACTTCTGCTCCAGCATAGCATCTTTTCTGACATCCTGTATGTGCTCAAAGTAGCTGTAGCTTCAAAAAGACAATAAAAAAATTCAACACACTGCAGAAGGAACAGCATTATATTTTCAGGGGAACTTCAAATAGTTTAGGCAGACCACATCAGAGCCTGCTTTTTGCTGTGTTTTAGTGCCAACACTAAAAACAGCCCTGGAAATATATCAGCACTGGAGGAGGATCAATAAAAAATGAATTGGATTTTTCGACAGTGGAAAGCTGAAGCTTAATAATAGCACACAATCATAAATCTCTCTGACAGGGTGAGTTATAATTCACAAGCCCTGCAAACACTATTTTTTGTCACAATTGCATGGATCTAAGCAGACAGGACAACACACACATACAAATACAGTCCATGCAAGTGTCATAACTCACACACATTAAGCCTGTGAGGGGCTGCAACATTAGACCAAGCAGCTGAAATGTAGGTTATAGGTGACTAGAAGCCTGGATTCAGAAAACAAGGTCAAAGTTATAAACATCTACTGCAATCTTATTTTAAAGGACATCAAATCAAAGGGGGTTTTCCATTCCTTAATCAGGGGATGCACAGTCTGTAAGGGCCAAGAGTAAATTCTGTGCAACTTTGTTTTTGGTTTTTTTTGGTTGCAAAGACTACTGACACAGCAGACTCTGACTTATGGGAATTAAGCGGACTGCCAAGAAAACAGAAACTCGACAGGGAATCAAGCAAACCCTTCAACTTGAACTGTCAGAAAATGTAAAAGAGGCAGTGGGTGAGCTGAGTTCTGCCATCAAGTGACAACATTGTGGGGCTGATATGATTGAGACAGGCAGTATCTTATCCTGAAGGATCACATGCAGATCTGCAGTAAAGTCCTTGCAATTGCTGACAGAGACTTCACACTTCCAAATTAATGTCCCAATAAAGATGATTAAAACTGGTCTTGAAAGCATGAGGAGGAGCATCTGCAGGAAAAGAAGCCAAGCTTTTAAAGCGGTATCTGTGTCTGGATTCTGCTTTGTCTGCAGTTGCTCCAAAGAAATGCTGCCTATTCAAGAGGCACAAAGTACTGTGGAGGCCAGAAATAGCCCCAGTCAGGTAAGCATGAATGATGTAACAGGAACAGAAAGAGGGCTCTCTGCCAAGTCTCGTAGTCTACGACACTGACAGACGCAGCCAATGTTTATGAATGAATAACACACAGGGTCTTAATGACGCCAGGGACTGACTCAGTGCGGGGGACAGTCAGGTGATGGACATGAAGGGACCAGACAAGGTTAGGCAGCATCCATAATGGGCCTAATGCATGAAAGGTGACTTTGACACCCCCTTAACTGTCCTTTAAAACCCACATCATTCAACCTACTACATACATCTAGGGTTTGGACAAACTTTGATATACTAATTAACTGACTAGTCTTTGATCACATAATTGATCGATTGATTTGTTTATCGACAGAAAAACATCTGCTAATGTTTTAGATAGAATGTTAATTTTTCCAAAAAAATTACAGATTAAGATATTATCAACTCTAACATGACGTATTTGTTGTCTTGTCGCTGTGATGTTTAATCAAAAACAAATCATCTTTGGTTTTGGGCCCCACAAGCAATAAACTCAACCATAGTTGTAGGGTGCAACAAAGGACTTTTATAATTATTGATAATCTGCCAGTTGTTTCCCTATGAATCAAGCAGTGTTTTTTTTAAATAAAATGTCAGAAAATGGTTGAGAAAAACAGACATCAGAAATCTCAAAGACCAAGGATGTAACAGCAAATGTGTTCAACCAACAGTTCAGAACACAAAGTTATTCAGTAATGTCAGAAACAGAGGGGCAGCCAAATCTCAAAATGGAAAAACACAACAACGCAGTAGAAATGACTCACTGAATATGAAATAGGTGGGCTATTTTTTTTTCGTGTCTTGGGTTCATCGATCAATTAACCCTGGTTCAGTGCGAAAGAGGATGTTTCACTTTACCATTCCCTGAGAGTTTATAGCCAATGATCAATAAATTGAACAGTAAAGACCATTTGCAGCTCCAATTAGATTCCTGATGCCTCCCATATAGTCAAGTGAGGACACACTGCTCATCAAAACCTTACTGTATTGCCAATTTAAGATCTGTCTTTTCACCAAAAGACAACACATGCAGGCCTATACTCGAAAAACCACATATTGCGTTTTAAAGGGATTCCCTCTCCTATAGCTGCGTCTTGGATGTGACGCTGGAAGTGGTGTGACTTCATGAGAAATCAAAGCAGATGCTTATTCATCGCATTGGGAGGCAACAGTGTCGACAGCATCAGGTGCTTTTCTGGGAGTCTGGGAGGAGGAGGAGGAGGAGGAGGAGGAGGAGGAGGTGACGCATCGCTTCAGGGAAAACGATGATGAGTGACGAGCTGCACCTCGAGCTGAACACGAGTATTCCCTCACGACTACAGCAACGCGGCAAGAGAGAGGGAGGCGTCGGGCGGCGAGGCGGCGAGGCGGCGTCAGCGGCAGGGCTTTTCCCCGTCCTCCTCCTCCTCCTCCTCCTCCTCTGGCTGCCCACGCATGAATGAACAGAGTGGATGACACACAGAAACGCAACAGCATCCACCTAGAAAGGAAACATTGGATCTCCTCCTCCATGTAGACATTTATAGACACTCAAGAGAGCACCGTAGCATGTTTTCTAATGTTCACTGTCACGACTGGGGCCAGCTTGTAACAAATGTGCCTATCTTTTATTTATTTATTTTTTTAAAGATGTTTACACTAATGTATCTTTATATGAAGCTTAAAAGTTGATTTAACAAACATGTCATTCAGCAGCAATTACGTTTAAAGTATCCCCCACTTTAAAGTAGTTGTGTTTCCTTTCAGACAAGCAGAGGGGCTTTGCTGTGTAATTTAATGACTGATCAGCACAAAAGGTCCGCTGCACGGGATGCACACACTTTTCTCCAGCGCTGATAGTCCGCAGCCTCTGTCACACAACTGGTGCAGTTTTACACATGAGCAAATCACACTTTAAAAAACATCAAACACAGAGGCTTTCATTGCCTTTTAAATCCATTTTTCTTACCTCCCACACACAGCAGGGACATCTCTGATAGCGGCGTGAGCCTCCCCGGCTGTCCTCTGCTGAGTGCTCCGTGATTTGTTTCGGTCAGTCCCTTTTTCAGTCAATCCGTCAAACTGTTACCCTGAATGTCCCCGGAAACACACCATCTTGTCAGCGCGGGTTTGTTTCTTTGCTGAGCTGTTGCTCCTCAGACAGGACACATAGGAGTGAATTCCTCGTCCGTCCCCCCCCCCACTCTCTCTCTCTCTCTCTCTCCGTCCTCCTCTGCATTGACTCAGCTCTCCTCCGCCGCCGCTGCTCCTCCTGCGCGCACAGCCATCTTGTTTCAGCAGCAGCTCCTCCGCGCCGCGCCGCCCTGACGTCACAGCTGATGAGAAGCAGGCAGGGAGAGAGAGGAGAGAGGATGATGATGATGGCTGGAGACGGGATGGAGCTGTGTTAAACCTGATCGTGCCGGTTGAAACGCACTCAGTGATGGCGAAGAGGAATCCCATTCATTGTTTCGAAAGTTACAAAGCAAAATGTGGCCTTGTACATTTTCAACAGGACAATTACACTGCGCATCATGAAAGTAGCTGTCCTGCATTGTGCAACATGCAGGCTCATTTTGGACCTGACAATGTTTGTATCTGTTCTTAACGCGGTAGCTCTTTGCAAATAAACACCCTGTATGTTTTATAGGCTACAGATGTTCAATAACTTCCTCTGTCCCAAATAAACACTCAAACAAATAAACAAAAATATTGATTTATTAACAGCCTTAGTCAAATTAAATTAATAAAAAATAAAGATGAAGGCTATTAGTTCTATCAGGCTCCTGGTGTAATATCGAGCATTTCCAATAGTTCTAGTTTGCTACACATGAAAAGCTTATACACTCTGCTGAACTGTTTCAATGTTTTTCACTGCATTTCAACAGAAATGTTTCAAAAGTATATTAAATAGCTCTGGTGAACAAGAAGGGTAGAAATTAAGATTTGTTTATACCTACGTTACTGGTTGGCCTAAAAAGAAAAGGGCATCATTTTGTTGTTCTTAGTGTCAGGTCATCCATGGCCATAATAATAATAATTTAATTTAAAAAAAAAAAAACCTTGCAAACCAAATGATCATTAAGCAATATCAAAAGCCTACTGATAAAAAGGGCCATACATATGATGCCCATATATTGCCTCATACATTTCAATTTAATGAATCTTTCATAAAGGACAAATGTACAAGTGGTTTTATTTTTCATTTATTGTTTTAATGCTTTTCCTTTGACTCTTGAACTAACAGTACTGGGAAGCCTCAAGCAAAATTGGTTTTCTGTTCAGGTCTGTTGACTCCAGTGAAAAAGTGAACAGACCTGACAGTATACTTCAACAGTTTGTTAAGTTTAATATAATAAAATGTGATACTTAGTCAAGAAATGTTTTTTTTTTAAATCTTGTTTTCCTTCATGCTAGCCTCTGAGAAAAATAGGTTAAGTAGCATATAAATAGTTTTGCTGCTCATTAGTTATTCAAAGCACACTTAGACAACCATTTTTTTCTAATTTGCATATTAAATGCTTCACTACATTTTACACGATTGCTATAGTCATTACAATTATTTTTATTTGCTTGACATTAAAACACTTACTTTTGTCATCAGATCCTATTTCATTTTAGTTAAGCTAACAAATATACGACATAGGAGCCTAAGTAATGACAGCTAATTCTCTTTGGTATGTTGTGTCAAAGGTTAACACTGTCTTTACTACAGTGTCTTTAAAATAATAAAGGCCTGGGTTCAAATGTGACCTAAAATTTGGGGATAGAGATCTGTGATGAGCACTAAATCCACCAAGTTTGGCCTTAACTTAACAGGCTTTACACATTCCTCAATATTGGTACTAAAACAAGATACTATTTAGCTTTTTATCTAAACAGTATTAATTTGAGTTAATACCAACTATAAACAGATATCTAGACGTGTTATGTTATTCATAGTGTTTAATTGAGAGCACCTTGTAGTGTGCTACCATTGATAAACGCCAGAGGGCAGCAAAGGCAGCTCTGACTGTGACACTACCAGAAATACACCAAGCAATGAAATTCCTTGTTTACGCCTACGCTAGGTTCAAGATGGCTGCTGGGAGGCCTGGCGGGGGAGACAGCAACGGCGTCGCAGCCGGAGCTCCGCCGACTGCGCAGAACTCCCTGCAGCAGTCCGCTGCGGCAGGTGCTGCGGCAGCCGGAGCCATGGCCACCCCGGCGTCCAACATGGCAACCACTGCAGCGTCCAACGCGCCCCAGGCGGCAGCACCCACCGCCACTCCGGCAGCTGCGTCCGTGCTGGTGTACCGAGAGCCGGTGTACAATTGGCAGGCGACGAAGAGCACCGTCAAGGAGAGGTTCGCGTTCCTGTTTAACAACGAGGTGCTCAGTGACGTTCATTTTTTAGTGGGCAAAGGAATGGGGGTTCAGAGGATACCTGCACACAGGTAAGAGGATTAACTAGAACAGCCCTTTTAAAACTTTAGCTCACTCAGACTGTAAAGCGCAAAACACTGAAGCTCTGGCTTGCTGTCGCTGATTGTTGACATTGTTGACATTGTCAGGTTTGTTCTGGCGGTGGGCAGCGCTGTGTTTGATGCCATGTTTAACGGAGGGATGGCGACGACCTCCACTGAGATTGAGCTTCCTGATGTTGAACCAGCTGCTTTTCTGGCCCTACTGAAGTAAGTTCCTGACATCCGGACAGTAAGCGTGTCAATTACGCCGATGCACGTCCTGAAATTGGGCCTGTATTTTTCTTTTTCTTTCAACTGTTCATCCTCATGAGAAAAAAAAACCATCAATCAGCAGCTAAAATTAAGACCAGACAATGCAACATCAATTTTAAAATGTGTTATTATTTTTCGTTATTGTGTACATGCACAGCCTTGTGAATTGTGGGCCACAGTTAAAAGGTAAAGTCTTGTATAACTTGTGGTTCTCTTGCAGGTTTCTCTACTCTGATGAGGTCCAGATTGGTCCCGAGACAGTGATGACTACACTATACACAGCCAAAAAGTACGCAGTGCCGGCCCTGGAGGCTCACTGTGTGGAGTTCCTAAAGAAGAACCTGAGAGCAGACAATGCCTTTATGCTGCTCACACAGGTCTGTCTTCCAACAACTATGAGTTCCTGTTTGCCATTCAATGTTTTTTTAAGGCTGATTTTAATAACTCCATCCATATGGTCAAAAACTGCAGCTTTAAGTTTTTTTTTTTGCCCTAAAATTCAATATATTTATTTTTCCAATAAACATGTCAGTATACAAAAGAGTTGAAATTTTAAACCAACAAAAGGGTTACGCCTTTTACTTCATGAGACTGGTGCTGATACAAAAGCTGATTATTGGTTTACCAAAGCAATAATTATAGGATTGCTTATTTTGAGAAATTACAAATTATATGTTCACAATTTTCTACACACAAGCAGCCAAACACAACTTTTCTGAATGAGTCTATAATGGGCAAAATTATTATTTCTTCAGATACTGTTCACTTATTTAATCAAAAATAACAGCTTTTGGTGTGTTTAAAAAAAGTAGTGAGAGCTTTAAGGTTTTACACCCTGCCCTACCAACATAGAACAAGTGTGTTTCTCCAAAATAGTACTTTTGGATCTGTCATTCTTTTTGAGTGAACTTGTTTTTTGTTCTCTAACAAGGCCGTGTAGTATAAATGTGTTCTTAAAACTGTGTGGTGTATTTTTGTTTCAGGCCCGCTTGTTTGACGAGCCTCAGCTTGCCAGCCTCTGTCTAGAAAACATTGATAAGAACACTGGAGATGCTCTCGCTGCTGAAGGCTTTACAGACATAGATCCGGGTAATGTTGCCTTTTGAATGTTGTCATATTGCTTCATGTTGTAATTTAGGATATTGGAGTAACTAAACATGGCTTTCTCGTCTCCCCCTCTCTTAGATACATTGGTGGCAGTGTTGGAGAGAGATACTCTTGGGGGTGAGGGAGGTGCGTTTGTTTGTTGCTGCGGTGCGTTGGGCGGAGGCAGAAGCCCACAGGCAGCAGCTGCAGCCCACGCCTGAAAACAAGCGCAAAGTCCTGGGCAAAGCTCTAACACTTATCCGCTTCCCTCTCATGACCATTGAGGAGTTTGCTGCAGGTCACAAGAATCCAAATTAAACCATCTCTGTAGTTTACTTCCACAGCATTTTTTTAAAAACACATCCAGTGCTTCAGACCCTTGACCCTGACTCAGTGTCTTGTCCTTGTCCCCACAGGTCCAGCCCAGTCCAGTATTCTGACTGACAGAGAGGTGGTGAGTCTCTTCCTCCACTTCACAGTCAACCCAAAGCCTCGTGTAGAATTCATTGACCGGCCCCGCTGCTGCCTCCGCGGGAAGGAGTGCAGTATCACCCGGTTTGGGCAGGTGGAGAGCCGCTGGGGTTACAGCGGGACAAGCGACCGCATACGGTGAGTGAGGAGCAGAGCTTTTAAAGATCTATTTAGCACCTCTTCATCTTTCTTTTCTTTCTTTAAAGCACATTTATTTTAATCTGTTTCTTAATAAACATTTAGCCATTTGCTACATTTTTGTTGTTTTATTGTAATTTGCTTATAGTAAAGTAAAAAATGTACAATTAAGTCAATTAAAGTCCACTTCCAGAGTTCCAGCCTGGTATGATAAAGTAAAACAAGAACAGTTCTTTTAGTGAAAAAAACATGTGCTGCATTTACACATGTCCCTTCTTCTCTCCAACTTAAACTGAGAGTTAAATGAGACTTGCATTAAGTCAGGCTGTAAGAACAGATAATACATTATTCAGTTTGACCATATCTGTATTGTACTCTTTAACATAAGCAAGCGGCTTGTATTTATTAGAACACACATTTAAGAGGCCGATAAAATAATCTGTTGGCCTATCATCAAAATACTGAGAATACTGAGCATCAAAGATGTGGTTTGCTACAATATGTTAAAAGCCTACATGGATTATGTAGTCATTGAGTGCTTCTATTTGTAGTCCTAAAACGAAGCACTGCTGGGATATTCTTAACAAAAAGCTAATCTGATTTTTACTGTGGATTTGGATTAATGTAGAAAATAAGCTTTGTGGCATGCAAACCTTTGTAATACTACACATTATTTCGGCAAAATAATCCCCACAAATCAACACCGCTTTTATGATTTTGGAAGTTTGAACTCAATCACCTGGGAAAAAAAAAATCTACATTATGCTAGCAGCAAAAAAACACTAGGGTCACATGACCTTCACATTGTCGACTCAAAGCTTCACATGCCCATGTTTTTGTTGACGTTATGATGTTTAATGTCCCCTACAACTACGTTAGTCTCACTCAGCCAGCTAACAACAATCCCTCCTATTAACACACATGATCACAGCTCATGAGTTGGGAATTACTGTTTTAGAACAAAAGTGGAAATGTCTCAAGCCTGTGGTGACTGCAGACCTCCAATCAGGAGTAAAGTATATGAAACATTAAGCAAATAAAAGCTGGCATGGCTGAATGAATTCACATTTTTTGGTGTTTTTTTCACCTTTGCTTTTCCTCTTGTGACAAGTGAGAGAAGAGAACTACTAAAGAAACAAATTGAACCTAAAATTTGACACAGTGAACCATCATAATTTCTCTGTTGTTGATGAATTCATACTCCTTTTTTTCTTTTCAGGTTCTCAGTAAACAGAAGGATATTTGTGGTTGGCTTCGGTCTCTATGGCTCTATACACGGACCCACAGACTACCAAGTTAACATACAGGTGTGGACTCAACCTGCTAGGAAGTTTTGTGTCCTGTTTCACTGTTTTAGGGAATGTTACAATATGTTTTCAAGAATGTGATTCTTTTGGATATGTCACGAATCCCTGATTTTCCGACCTGAAATATAAGCCCACAAGATAGACCACCCAGGTATACAGCCACTTAAATATATCTGCCAACTGTTTTTTTTTTTTTTTTAAATTCTTTATACTGAATACAACAGCAATCTGCCCCTGCTCTCCACCCCTCAAGTTCATGTTGCAGGAAGTGTTTGTTTGCTCTGCAGGTGATCAGAAAAAGAGCATCCACTGTAATGTTCCTTCTTTAGATTTAAAGATTGAGGTGCGATGTCATTTGTTAAATTTGAACTTTTTAGGCGTTGTTTTAATTGTTTTAGTGCAATGTGTTACTGCTGGGGTTCCTCTGCACTCCATTAAATTTACCACATGTTCGATAACAAGCATCCCTACACGAGGCTAATCTGCTCTAAATAAATAAGTCGTGGAACTTTTTAAAACTCTATGCAACATACTTTGTCCTCACCCCTACAGTAATCAAAGTCAATATTCAGGTAAAACTCAATTAAAGTCACCTTGTCACAGGGATGAATCACATTCTGGTTCATGTTTGAATGTTCATTGTTTGCCATTCTAACAAGTGCATAAAGACAACTAGAGTTAATCCAGTTCTCTCCCACAGAACTACATTAGCTACTTGTATACAGTTGTATACTTGTATACTGCTTTAGGACTAATACAGTGCAGGAACACAAGAACTCCACGTTTGTAAAACATATTTTTCCTGCTTTTTTGTAATTTGTCAATCACATCCCTGTATTTTAGATTTGTGTGTGTTTTTTTTGTCTCGCTGCAGATCATTCATACAGACAGTAACACAGTGCTTGGTCAGAATGATACAGGCTTCAGCTGTGATGGGTCAGCCAACACCTTCAGAGTCATGTTCAAAGAACCAGTGGAGATATTACCCAACGTCAACTACACTGCCTGCGCTACACTGAAGGTATGTGACTCCTCAGTTTACATCTGTGATTATATCTTGGGGATAAACCTGCCGATACTTTTTCAATGTTTTGTCTTGAACTGTAAATTAACAGTGTTACAAGTTATCATCTGACAGTCAGTGAGTCACTTTCTGTCATTTCTCTGCCGTTATGTATGATTTAAAGACAAAACAATTCTGCAATCAGCTGAATTTGCTTTTATGCATATATTAAAACTGATAATTCTAGTAATGGGATACAAAACTGCTTTTTCACTGTACTGTCAAAAGCTAGAGATTTTCACTATAAATGTTACTGTGCCGAAATTGTTTGTAAATATATGAAGAATGATTAACATCCTTGATGTGAATTGTTTCCAGATGCACAAATAAAGAGGTCATCGTCATTACACCTAAACATCATTTTATTTTCTGTATTTGTGCAGTACAAATGTTGATATGAGTCCCACACTACTCTGAGCTGTGTATATTTTCCTGCCTTTTTGCCCTGTGCCACTAATATGCCTATTTATGATTACAGCAGTCAAAAAATCGAAGTTTATCTTAGATTTTTAATTGAAGACAAAGAACACAAACACATATTCACAGTTGAGAAGCCTCCCTTGAATATTGAATTGCTTCTGAACAACTTGAGCTCTGGTTTCTTTTCTCACTGCATTACGTTGAGAATATCTAAACTGTCACTCTGCAACAAGCTCCTGCAGTTAATTAAACTTCCCTCTCTCTGTCCTGCAGGGTCCAGACTCTCATTATGGGACGAAGGGAATGCGTAAGGTAACGCACGAGTCATCATCCACTGGCACAAAGACGTGTTTCACCTTCTGTTACGCAGCGGGCAACAACAACGGCACTTCAGTAGAAGACGGACAGATTCCTGAGGTGATCTTCTACACATAGTCGCCCCTCATATACCAGCTATCTTCCATCAAATGTGACGAGAACATGACACCAGCTCGGGGGGGGCCACTCCTCAGCAGCCGTACTGGGGACTAAAACTCTCAGACATTATACTGCTCCCTCCATGTAGTGAACAACTGCTGACCACGCTGGAGGTCAAGTAGCCATTAAGCGATGTAGGTCACTACATGGGGTGTAGCTCGTCATTTGAGATGCTCTCTCTCTTTCTACTGGCTTCCTTTATCCCTTTGTGTCGTATAATGCAAGTCTCTGAATCAGACATGACTGTAAGTGACTCCACAAGGGAAGGAGAGAAGGAGGGAGGAGCCTCTCAGATAATTCACAGTATCAATATCGATGCTGTGGATAGCAGCATAAGACTTGACACTGAATTCTAATTAAGCTGTACAATTCCCCTTTCTGTACGCCACAGCATCAATGCAAAAGAGAGCTGCAAATGTATGAATGTACAGATTATCAGATTTGCCAAGCGAAGCTCCTCATCACCAATGAGTCGTGACCAGCATTTCACAATTCTTCATCAGCTGTAAGTACCATAAACCCCAGCGGCTTTACGAACTCTTGGTGAATTTGAACCATTCTTCATTTTAAGCTTAACAACTTGATAATGGTAAGACATTTTGTTGGGGTTTCTACATACAGTACAATCTGTGATATCTTGTGTCCTTGCTTGGTAGTTGCCTATACTCAAGATACCTTGCACTTCTCGGCCTTGCATATGTTCATTCGCTGTTCTATGGATGCACACTAACTCTTCAGATATGTTTCATTCTAGCTTTGTTTTTAAGAGTGTGGGCGGAGGGGCTTTCCCTCTTGGTCAGAGGGTTGTATATTAAAGTGGCATTTATTAACATTATATGTAACTTGAAATAACTATTGATTAAAGAGTGAGGAAAAAGTACTATGGTGCTTGTTTTTTGGAGAGAGAAAAAAACAGGAATAAGGTTAGTTTAGTTTTATAAAGATTAAAAACAGGGCAGCAGTCATTATGTATGGAATGAATGATGTATGAGGCTTTAAAAAAAATGCAGATGATGGGGAAATAAATGAAAAGGTAATAAAAATGTTAGAATATTAATTATTATCAAGCTTGAAGTATAAGAGCTTACATTACTGCTTTTTTTTATAATGAGAAATCATTTTTTTGTACGAACATTTTGATTTATCAATTATTTTATAGCCAACTACAAATAAATAATTTTTTCCCCTCTAAAGAACTCAAACCAAACATTTTATTCAGGACTATTTGTTTTCTAATTGTTCTGACTTCCTTCCTGTTACAGAAAAAAAATCCCTCTAAAACTGCCAATTGTTGATTTAGCACTGCATTTGTGCAGTAAAGCACCTGAATATGGTAATGTCTGGTATGTCTTAGAGTTGTGGGCAGATGGATTTTGTTTCCCTATCCTGTGTGAAGCTAAGCTAATGGGCTCCTGGTTGTAGCCGTAGTCTGTTCTACTCTAACTCACAAGTGAATAATCAAGGCGTTGTCATCACAAGCTGAACATCTTTTATAAAATATATCCACTGAAAAAAGGGACCAATCCAGGGAGTTTGACTTAACACCTTTATTGTGATTTCCATGGTTTAATCTGCCCATGATCCCTTTACATATGCATTATTGCAGCAGCAGCAGTATCACAGTGCACTGAACAGGCCCATCCTTGTAGATGAGTGGGAGGGGAGGGGGATGATGTGGAGGAATAGAAGAAACAAGGAAAACTTTTGATTTAATTGCTCCCCAAAACCCTCACCCTAGGCACTTGGTGTTCTGTAGCTGTGAAATGAAAAAGCATTGTTGCTTCCACTTGCTAACAACAAAGGGTTCAGCTTCGTTTCTGCTCCTGACTCAAAGTCAAAACAATTTGTGCAATGTATCTTTTATTAAAGTGCCCATGGGGTAGGGTTTGGAGATTCATTTGGTATTTAATAACCCCGGTCAGTTTTTAGAGTTTGTCCAAATAGTTGTCAAGGGCAGGAATGCCCTCTTTCAGACCTTTACGTTTCCTAATTTCAGCAACAACGCTGAAAGGTCTGCTGGTGGGGTCGCTGGGGTCTCCCGGGAGGATCTGCCAATGATCAAACACACACTGGGGGAAGGCCTGGCCTCCAGTGTTACTACGCAGGTCAGCTGTGAACCCTAGAGGCAAGGAAAGATAAAATAAGTTAATGTCTACACCTGTTTGACCCTGTTCCTTTTCTTAATCAGAGGAAATGTAAAGAACTCAAACTCACCAAAGGACTCGTTGACAGGGAGGTAGGCTTTCACCACAAACATGGGAGTGCCTATGACTTGGGACTCCTCAAACACGTGACCCCGTTTCCTGTTCAGCACGCCATAGATCCCGCCGACCACCTGCTCTGGGCACTGCGCCGACAAGAGGCACAACAGACATGTATTATGAAGAGGTATCAGACCTTTCATACATAACGTAGACGAGGCGTAAAGTAGCTCTCAGTCCTCAAACAGAACAGTCAATTTGATAGTCTGAACTTTCTCACGTCAATCCCCAAAACCTTTGTAGATAGCTTCACTTTAGATTTAACACTTTGTTTTGGAGGTCAAAGGCCTCCTTACACACCTGTATTTCCACCAGGTAAACAGGCTCCATGAGTCGAGGTTGAGCAGTGAGCTGGCAGGCGTACAGGACTCTACGGGCTGTTGGGATGATCTGTCCTCCACCACGGTGGATGGCGTCGGCGTGCAGTGTAACATCATGAATGTCAAAGCGAACGGCGCGCAAATTCTCCTCACATAGAGCCCCCTGCAGGATGAAGACAGGAACTGATAAGAATATTCTCAGGAGAATACAAGTATCATTTCAACAATTAATTAAAACTCAGCACTTTCTGTCAATTTTTAACTGCCACCCACCTCCTTGGTCGCCCACTGGAAACCAGCAACCACACTGTCCTTGATCTCGTTGAGGTACTGAACCCCCTTCGTCATGTCAATCAGCAGGTTAGCCCCTGACCCGTCTGGACCAAAGCACCAAATCTTCCTGGCTTCTGTCACCTCCCACTCATATTTGTCGGCAAGGTAACGAGCGCGGGCCTTTAGCTCCTGCCGAGCGGTGACTTCCCCCTTCTCAATGTCTTCAGCCAGGCCGTCGGGGAAAGGGCGGGACTTCATGAAGAGACGATTGTGCTTGTTGGGAGACTTGGAAAGACACATCTGGTCTGATTCTTCCATCACTGTCTCTCTGTAAGACACGACTGGGTCTGATTTCTGGAAAGCGATGAAGGTCAGGGTCAGAATAAAAAACACTATATGTCACCTAAGATGAAAAAAAATCTATGTTTTACATGTCTCACCTTCAGTGGAATGCAGGCGTGGTCCTCTTCCAGGTCTTTGAGGCAGATCTCTAGGTGGAGCTCTCCCGCTCCAGCGACGATGTGCTCCCCAGACTCCTCGATGATGCACTGCACCATGGGGTCAGACTTGGCCAGACGCTTCAGACCCTCTACCAGCTTGGGTAGGTCAGCAGGGTTCTTGGCCTCCACAGCGACTCGGACCACAGGACTCACACTGAACTTCATCACCCTCATGTTGTGGGCCTGTGGACACAGAGAGCCAGCTAAAGGACTTTTTCTTTTAGTGTTTTTGCTTCTACCAATCAATAGGCATTTGATCAATAACCATCAATACACTACTTGTTCATAGGTGGTGATGGTTCCTGTCTTAATCAGGTACTGGTCTACTCCAACAAGACCAACAATGTTGCCACATGGGACATCTTCAATGGGCTCCACATACCGACCCATCATCAGAATGGTCCTGGATGGAGGAAAAGAAGGACATGTATATGAGGAAGTTACAGACATTTTTATTTTAACAAAAGGATCACAAGAAATGCATGAAATGACTACTCCTTTTTCTTTCCTCTCAATTCTCTGTTGGTGGCTTTAAACAGAAACCTGCTCACCTCTGGATGGGTTTGACGTAAAGATCCTCCTTCTTTCCGGGGGTGTAGTTTGGCCCCATGATGCGCACCTTCAGGCCGGTGGACACGCAGCCGGAGAATACTCGGCCAAAAGCGTAGAAACGTCCCTTGTCAGTAGTTGGGACCATCTTTGAAATGTACATCATCAAAGGTGCTTTAGGATCGCAGTTTTTGATACCTGAGAAGACAGCAGACACAGTAAGTCCTGGGTATTAAATATACAAATTAAATCTTACAAGTTGCTGTGATTATTTAATTTAAAAACCCTTTTTTTACATATTTTTTTCTCCAGTGGGAGAAGTTGATTGTGTGAAAATGTTCCACTGACCCATGGCGGCCTCGTCGTCTCCTGGCCCTTCATAAAGCAGCTCACAGCGGTATTTCTGTGCAGTGACGGGGGACGGCAGGTGGATGGTGATCATCTGGAGCAGAGCCTCTCCGGCAGGCAGCCAGCGACGCATTACGGCCTTCAGCAGGGGCTTCCCCTCTTTCTCCTTGTCCTCCGTGTCCAGTTTGACATCCAGCTTTTCAATGAGTTTTGCTGTCTCGTCCTTCTTGAAGTTCATGATGGCATCAAACACCTAAGAGGGCAATAAGAAAACACCAAGGTGAAAAGAGTTTGATTTATTTTCTTTTTTTAAGTCAACCTTTTTAAAGCCTCTATGTGCAAATCTGTGTGATCTTTTTGTATTATTCTGGTAGCTTCTTTTTTTTGTAGAGAAGTTCAACAATACTGGCCGAAGTCAAATCTTAGCGTCTTCCAGGAAATTGTAATCTATTGAGGAGCATTTTTTTATTGCAATATGTCCCAGGTAATTAGAAATATGAAGTCCTGACTCGTGTATTTTGGGTTTATGTCTTTTTTTTTATACTCCATTTACCTTAAAGATGGGGTCCAAAACAAGCTGGCAGAAGGTGCGAGGAAGTTTCTGGCCATCAGGACCGGTGGCAGACTTACTGAATTTGCCAGCATTTGGATCAAAGTATCTGCGTATGAATATAGTACAAGATCATGACAATCAATTTGTCGACATTGAACTTCAAATCGTGGTGTAATTGTGCGAAAGATTGAAGTAAAACAATGATGCAAACTTTTAGATGTTTGTGAGAAAATCTAAAAACAAAACTTGTTTCTCCTACTGTCCTCTGGTTTAAGCTACAGTGATATAAAAGTTTACTTCTGCAATGTTTACCTTTCTCCCCACAGTTTCTTCATCATGTCCTCCACCTTCTTACACCTCTCTGCTGAACCAAGCTTCGATTCCCCTTTTGTGAACTTGGCCACGTACATCTCAGCAAACTGCTTCAAAGTGAAAGCCCATCCATGGAGGCCAGAGCCAAACCCAACAGTACCAATAACAGGGTCGATCTGAGGGGGAAATGGTAAAGTATGCTTCACCCAAGTTCTATTCGGTATGCTTTGAAATAAACGTACTACAACATTTGTTTGTTTCTTTGAGTGGTGTTTATGCATCTGCCTCACCATGATGTTCCCCATGGGTCCCCCTTCGTCCTCTCCATAGGTAGAGATAATGACGTTGACATTCTCCACAATTCGCTGAAACGTCTGGAACAGCGAGTCTGGCTCCAGCTGCAGCTCAAGAAGCGCCCGATCCATTTTATTCATCATCAGAACCGGCTTGATGCGCTCAGCGATGGCCTGCCGCAGTACCGTCTCAGTCTGCACACACACACCTGTCGGAGGACACAAATAGGTGAGTCACTGTGAAAAGTAAAAGGAAGGGGAGGGGATCATTAAATAGTTACCTGAGACACAGTCCACCACCACCAGGGCTCCGTCAGTCACCCTGAGGGCAGCAGTGACTTCAGAGGAGAAGTCGACATGACCTGGAGAATCAATGAGGTTGATAAGGAAGCCGTTTCCGTCTTTGCACTGCTTGATAAACGCCAAGTCGCTCTCTTCAAGCTCATAGTACAGAGAGATGGCCCTGAATAAGAGAAAGGGGACAGGAAGGGGGGGGGGTGCATTTTAATGAAATTAACATGTCAAGAATATGTAAAATGAAGTTCAACCAAATGAATTCCTAAACTGAGTCATCATGATACTGGTCTCTGATGAGTCAGATGCTTCTTAAATGGAGCGGAATTTCTGAGAGATGTCCCTGTTCAAATGCTGGCTCATCCGGAGCGGTATCAGCAAATAACTAAGGATTCAAATCAATTTCAGTGCCAGTGCTTTAACTGATACAATTTTTTACCATCTTCATGTGAACCTAACAGTGTCTTGTGGTCTCAGACCATGGCGTAACTGTAACCAAAACCAACATTTATAATTTATTGCTGAAGTTTTCTCCAGAGAAAACTCAGTTAAGGGATCCTGAACAAGTCGGCCATTGTTATTTAAAGGCACAGAAAACCTTTTTTTCCAATCAGCATCTCACTATGAATGGTTTATTCCAACATATACACTTTTATTTTTGCCTTAGTGACAACTTTCATTTATTTTTGTCTGCGCGGTTTTCTGTTTTCTTTTCACTTGTTGGAAGTAGGCGGGGGCTCCATAAGGAAAATTGTGATGTCATTCTACAGCACCAATCAGTGTTGATAAAAGAAGGTAAATGGAACTGAGCTTGTATAGCGCTTTTCTGGTCTTCTGACTACTCAAAGCTCTTTTACACCACATGTCACACCTACCCATTCACACACTGATGGGGATGATCATCTTGTGTTATTGATCAATCTAATCAAATAACACTCACAGTACCAATGAGGCAGAATTGTTTGGGTTTTAAACCTTATAGAATATAATCTGTCTTCATCTAATTATTATTATTTTTTGCTTATTTTACTCTTGAACATTATTTTTAACAGAGAAATACTTAAGATTTCAAACTGCCGACTTCATCAGGTTGCTCATAACAGACAGAGCTGTTTCTAAACCCACTTCTCTACACAACGTACGTTGACTTGATGGTGATGCAGCGCTCCTGCTCGTCTTTGCGCGTGTCTGTGAAACGCGTCTCTCCGGCCCTGGATGAAGCAATGATCCCTGCCTTGGACACCAGCGAGTCCGTCAGTGTGGATTTCCCATGATCCACGTGGGCAATCACAGACATGTTCCTGATATTGGACTTCTTGTCCATGATGGCACGGATCTGATCCACAGTGAAGTTAACCTGAGGTGAGAGGTCACATAGATGAATTTACAACCAGCAGAGAGGCACATTTTATTCATCATTTGTGGACATTTATTTATGTCCACTACCAGATCTTATTCCAAGCAGCGTTATAAAAAGAAAGACTTGTTGGTAACTGAATCTGTCAGGAAGAGTGAGGTCAACACATTAAGACTTTACCTTCTGGTGTCTAAGTAAGCAACAGATCAGGAAGTACTGAGTCACAACTCATACTGCAGCAATGTGAGCCATGCTTTACCATTTCACAATACCATGTTAAGAATATGTACTGATTTCATACCCTAAATGTATCCTAAAATATTAATATGAAGGTCAAATGTACATGGGTAAAGTAGGAAAAATCCTCCAGGACCATATAATACACAAAGAGTCTACAATTATGTGTTAAAAAGGCATATAAGCACAAAATAAATAAATAAAAAGGCATCTTTTAGAGCAGTTTGTGTTACTGTCTGACAGAGACATTTAGTCATTCTTACTTGAGACCGGTGTGGGCTTTTGCATGATAAATTAAGTTGTTAACATGGAGAAAAACAAGGACGTTTTATTCTTTACTATAAGCACTAGCATGTTGAATTAATTCAGCTCACAATATATACAAGTAAAATAACACAATAAGGAAGTCGAGACATCCACTAAATGACTAATAATAAAAGACTAAAGAAACAATCGTTAGTCATTTTAAGTCAGAATGAACTTTTTTTTTAAGGAGGTGTTCTCATAAAGGTAGGTGCGTAGGGCGACTAACTATTACTTGAAAAGAAAAAAAAAACAATTTTCAGCATGAACTAAAAGTCATCATTCCGGTAAAATGCACAGCAGCACTTTCTGTCAATGACGTATTGATTTAATATTAGGCTTATATCTGGTAGTATATTTTTTTTTTATCGACCGTAAAATACGGTTATGACGCAGTTTGCAAATGCGCTGCGTCACAGCATGTGTATGAAACATGCCAGGCTCTTAAACACCGTATAATAACTTGATACTTCTGTAATCATGCGGCAGCAATAGGTTCATATCAGAGGTTTTGCTATGAACGTCACAGTGATGTAGAGCGCACCGCGCAGTAAAGGCCACAGCCCTTCAGCTTTATGCTGCTGCGTATGATCAAGCTGATGACATACCGAGTCTTTATCTGAAAATATAAATCCGTCTAGCATCGCCAAGAAACCTGTTTCTCTCACCTGTCAGGCTCCATGGCAGCTTGTTGCACCTACATCGATACAGTTTTACATTAAAGGTTATTAGGTAGAGCGAGTGACAGATCACTATGTACCTGCTCTAAATGGATAAAACACAATTACACCCGGACTTGCATCGCCAGACTCACCATTTTGTCAGCAGGTTGTCGCTCTTAGTATGTGACAGTTTATTGCTGTAAACACTGCCTTTGAGGACTGGCAGTCCCGGTGGTAACTAGACAGACGCTGCTGCTGCTGCTGCGGCTGTTGTTGTGTAGCGGTGCAGTACAGAAGCGGAGCCAGCAGAGGGCTCTGTCTCTCCAAAACCAGGCGTCAGGTCACGCCACATTTCTGTGGATGTGAGCCAATACTGTAAACACACTGAGATGACAACAATGCTTTAACTTCTAGGAGGTATGTTGAGGGGGAAAAAAATTTCCCCTGTGGCATTGCACACGTGCTAGGTCGCTGAATAAAGACCGCCTGTTGTTCTTTACTATCACTGATTTTTATGTATTTTCTTTTGTGTTGTCAGTGTTTGAATAAGCCTTCTAGTGCGTGTGCGTGGCTATGCGCTACGTTATGAGCCTTAAGCACCTCCAGGGACGGTGAGGGGGGGTCTCAGTCTCCCAGTCTCCCAGTCTCTGACCCCCCTGGGGGTCGTAATCTGAAAAGTTTGGGAACCAATTTATCAAGTGTTGTTTTTTCACAAGGGATACGTTTTGATGAGTGTACGTATCCGGTTTCAAGCTGTAGTTTATACTTTATTGTCCCCTTTGGGAAATTCGTCTTGGACTCAAAGTACTGTCAGACATTCAGCTGCTTCCACTCGAATCAATACATAAAAACAATAGAAACATTTTTCCGAGTTTAGCATAAGGGGCAGTAAGATAAGTTACTTTGTAAGACATTTTGAACCCTTCAGCTTTGTGTGTTGACTCTGCTCATGGGATTGCTGTAGTTTAAAGTGAAAATATCTTACAATGTCTATGTGTGATTGCAACACAGAGCATTTATACTGTGGGAGAAATATTGACCTATGACAGTTCTGTTTTTTAAAGCACGTTCTTCTTGTTTTGCGAGCATAATATTAATACTTTCCTTCACAGAAGTAATATAACTCTAAATTGAATATGTGACACAATCACTTTTAATAATAAATTCAGTATAACAGTGTTAACATGATGTGGAGTAGGGATCTGAGGCTGTTATTTTCCACCTTTAGATGGATCGATGCTACACTTGGACATCAGTCCTCATCCCGACTCCAAACCAGCAAGGCACCCAGAGGCTCGTCCTCCTCAGCATCAAGGAACCAGCCTCGCTCCCTGGCACCTTCCTGCCTTATACCTCTCTTTCCTCCCCCAGCCTTTCTCCTGCCTTCTCCTCTTTCCTTTCTGCCCTCACACCCCTCACAACCCGAAGCTCTTGGTAATGGTATTAGACATAAAAAATAATATTACAGGAGGAAGGAAGAACCTTCAAAAGAAAGAAAAAATGTAAGTATTTACTCTCTAATTGAGAGTTATGTTTTTTTAGTTATCCTTTAATTTGGAGATATTCATAAAATTGCATTTTTATAAAATAGATTGATGTACTTTTCTTAATAGTAGAAATCTTAATTTTGCTAATGCACACACTTTTGATGTCAATTGTTTGTATTTGCCACTTTATATTCCTTGTGAAAAGGATACCGGCCTACCAATAAGTGTACTTATTCCAGCTGTGTTTGTTCTATAATTTAATACAATGCAGACACTGAACTCTTGTAGCAGTCCTCCACCAGCAGAGTGCAGAGTGGCACAAAACACTTCAAGGGGTAGGAGAATCTGAAATGGGATTTGAAAAGAGTAGAATCGGAGTACTTCAGGTGTTACAGTCTGTGCTTTTATGATTGTGCACTTGCACAAGTACACTTGTGTATGGTGAGGGTAATAGGATGTTCCATGTTTCCACCGTGGACTCAATTCTACACACAGAGGAGAAATACACTGAAAAATAGATTAGTCATGCATTTTTCATGGATCTATTACAAAAGCCTCAAACAATAATGGGCCCTCTGGAGGCATAATCTGTGATGATAGCAGTGGACAGTGCTTTTCATTTGAAATTCTTTATAAGGAATAACTCCTTGAGATGTGTCATATTGTTTTCAAGGGGGTCTTAGAGTACAGAAATGTCAATTCAGAAATGTACTCTAAGGGGGGGACAGGAGGTTTGAATCGGCAGATCTCCTGTGAGTGGGAGTGTGCTGGTGGAGGGGCTCAGGTAGGTAGTGGGAGCCAGATTATGTAGGGTATATCAGGTGAGGATGAGGAGTTTGAACTGGATACGCTGGGGGGATGGGGAGCCAGTGGAGGTTATGAAGGACGGGAGTGATGTGGTATCGGGTGCAGGGAGTGTGTGAGAAGTCGAGCAGCGGAGTTCTGGATGTATTGAAATTTCAAAAAGTGTTTTGGTGAACCGTAGAGGAGACTGTTGCAGTAGTCTAGCGATGTTTCTGAGGTGGAAAAAGGCTGTTTTGGTGATTTGTTTGATGTGTTTGTTAAAGGAGAGGGTTTGGTCAAAGATGACACCAAGGTGACAAATGTGGGGGGAAGGGAGCACTGTGGGGCCATTGATGGTGAGGGAGAAGTTGTTGGTGGATTTGATAATGGATTTGGGGCCGACGATGACGACTTCTGATTTGTCGCAGTTGAGTTTGAAGCCAGGATTTTATGTCTGTGATGCAGTCAGTGAGGATTGAGTGAGTGGCAGGAGTGATGGCTTTGGTGGCAATGTGGAGCTTGATGTCGTCTGCAAAGCAATGAAACTGGAGTCCATGGCGGTGGATGTTGTGACCAAGGGGGAGCATGTACATGATGAAGAGGAGGGGACCTAGTACTGAACCTTGGGGAAGACCTTGGGAGAGAGGAGCAGTGGGGGATTTGCAGTGGTTTATGCTGATGAACTGGTATCTGTCAGAGAGGTATGATTTGAGCCCTTTTACTGTCTTGTTGAGTTGAGCCAGGAGAGTGCAAAAAAAAACTATTAATGTCAAACGATGATAAGGCATACATAATCCGAGAAACCTACTTAAGGCAGAACATAAAATGGAGTGGATTATCCACTCACAGGTCATAAACAAAGACAGTGAAATATAAACACAAGCTTAATAATACAATTTTGATGATGAGGCAGTGTTATCATGGACAGTTGCAAATGGTTCTGAAATAAGAAGACAAGGCATATTAACTGGTAAACTATTCCAATCTGAGGGAGCTTTAAACATTAAGGTTTTCTTGGCTGTTGCTTTTGAGACTGCTGGAATTGAAAAAAAAAAGAGCTGGGAGGGGTGTCTTAGTTGATGAGAAGAGAACACGAGAATAAACATTAAGAATGAATAAAACTAATAAAGAGTATTACAAAGAATGAATAAAACTAAGAGGATATTCACAGATATTGTCAATGATGTAAAAAACAAAACAACTAATATTTTCTCACAATGACAAGCCCCAAGTGTTGCTGTCTTTGCTCTGTCCACATCTCTGCTTAAACACACAAACTTAATAAAGATTTAAAGATAAAAATGGAAAGGCTGTCAAAGGTTTCTTCATGTCTACAATCTATATGGACACAAGGGAGGAAGGATATTCAAGTGTGCGAGTGCTAAAATACCCCAAAAGGCTGAAGTAATAATGCAATGTAATGTTGGCAGACATTAATTCTTATTTGTACAGCTGGTGTCTTCTGTAAAGCTTCCAAGATGACTGTGGCAATGTATCCTAACTGAAAACAACAAGGAGAAAGCAGAGAAAAGTTTAACTCTGAAAATGTTGATATGATATACTTCTTAAACTAGATACATTGCACATCGAATGTTGGTTTCTTTCCTGACAGGGAGATGATTTGCACCTCTGACCTGCATGGAAAACAATGCAGAAACTGTCCTGAATTTAAACTTAAGATCAGAAGGAGAGTGGGGAAATGTCAAGCTCTTTCAGAAAAAGAGCTGACCATAAACCCAGGGACTGAAAAGCTCACAGATATATTTTAACATTCTGTTCAAGTTCTGCAGTCTAGAAACTGCTAATGTGACCCTTGTAGTTATTATGATAGAGAGGCTTCTGTACTATTGGAGGCTGTTATCTCATGTTTATGAAGATACAGACTGATGGGAAACTAAAACATTGGACTGTTACTTCCATAAAAACTAAGACTGCTGCAAACCAAAGCAACCAACTCCCCCTGACACATCTAACAGTTGGATTCATTTCTCCTGTTTGTGAAACTGTGGGAATTTCCCATTGGCTGTAGGTATTAAATGATTTCATGCACTTTGGTGTTATCACTGAGCTATAGATAAGAGCACAACATGTCACGGGTGGTGACGCGATAACACTGCATGCTTACAGCACGCTCTCTGCTCCTCACCTGTATGGATGTGAAAAACAGCTTGAACCCTTCTTTACTCATCATGTCTGATATGAGAACAGCTCAACCTGGTACATTTTTTAACACGTGTCTTTTCACTTTCACACCTCCTCCTCAACGATACAAGACTGTAAGAAGTGTGAGATTGTGTTTTTCTTGGATTTAGCTTCACTTGAACAATTACGTTCAGGTCTAATGAAGTCACTGGAGGAGCAGTGGCTGTGATGCTACAATGTTATTTGAATCCCCTCTAGGAAATTGGAATACATATATATCTTCACTTGATCCTACTTGTACACTATTACAGATGTGACTCTTGACCCTCTGTAATGTGCATTGAAATTGACTTGAAAAATGTATATGCAAGTACAGTCTGCTATCATACGAAATAACACAGCATTTATCTGTACTGAGCTGCGAGCTATTCAGCTATTCTTGGAATCCAGAGATGTGTCTAAAAATGTCCTGGTTAGATAATATGTACCTTTAAACTTTTTAATCTGAAGAAAGAGTGATAAAGATAACGGAGCTCTGCTGCCATGTCTTAAGGCTTATTACTACTGCACTGATAAAATGAGGCTCTCTGTCTAAGGTAAAGTGCACTTTAATGCCACAAACAGACCTAAGATATCTGATAGAAAGACTGAGAGATGGTGATCAGACATGGATGTTAAGGGACCAGGCTGTGTAAATTATTTTGCATTTATAAAATAGAAATGAATTCATGCAGGCTTGCTCCTTTGTGATCAGTGAAAACCATGAATGCATTAAAAAACTTTGACCCTTTTCCTGACATGTTCATATTTTTGAAGATAAGAGACTCTGAAAAAACAGAGTCTCTAAAAAAAAGCTGCATATAGATAGTGTTAAATTCTT